ATCTGGTTCCTCTGTAGCTTTGGAGCCTGTCCTGGAACTAGCTCTTGTAGGCCAGGTTGGCCCCAACTCACAGAGATCCGCCTGCCTCTGCCTCCTGAGTGCTGGGATTAAAAGTGTGAGCCACCACTGTTGGGGTCATATTTCCATCTTTTAGTCGCTTCCAGATAATACCAATGAAGAATTACCATTATCAAGTTTTCCTTGTTCTAAACTCATGAGACACTGTTACTTGGTTTTGTAAATAGTACTGCTTCCTTCTTTATAGGCAATACTCAGGGTGGTTATACAGGATAAAGAAGATGCTCATCACATAGTAGATGCTCGAAAGCATTGATATTCTCCTCCTTTTCTTGCAGTAGCATTTTTCCTTTGAAATTTATGATTTTAACTTTGAAACTTTGTCCAGCCATTTGGAAGAATGATTACCTACGTTTGGAAGAGGCCTCAAAGATTCATGCTATTCAAAAAAGATGTGCTACATATTTCATAGGGAGGAATTTAAAATAATTGTAAGGGTGAGGGCACCACAGTAACTGGCCAGCCTTCTAATTCTACAAATGAGAAAATGTGTGTCACTGAGTGAAATGACTTGCTTAGGGTGGTAAGTCTTCATACTGAATAACCATTTTCTGAAGATAGCCTAAGAGTGTCTTTGTAATTCAGTCTCTTTTTGCACAAGTATGTGTGATATGCATGCAAATTCACAAGTGTGTAGACATGTTGCTGATGCATGTGTGTGCATACAGGGGCCTGAGGTTGATGTTGAATGTCCTCCTCCTCGTAATTTTTTTGCCTTAACAATCTTTCCTAATTTTATTTAGCTAGGTAAATAATAAAATGCAGTAGTGAGTCCCAAACTGTTAGGTAATTAAGAGGCTTTGTCTTTACCTTTAAGTTGCTGCGATAGTAAGATAGCCTTCTAATTTTGTCGATTGGCAATGCATATGAAATGAACAGATCACACATAAGCCCTAGGGCCTAGAAGAGCTTGGTGAGGTGGCATGGATACCGCTGTCAGATTTGAGTGACAGGGATTCTAGGCTGTTGTCTAGGACAATTATTCAGGCATTTGACTCTAGTGAGAGAATTTCATTTCTTCTGACTCATGGTGAGGTTTGCATAGGCTAAAAAACAACACCCTAGAGAAACAGGAAGTCCCAATCAAAAAAGAAAATTACGTCTTGTTGGTTTAGCAGATTGTTTGCAAAAATGATTTATTCTCTTCAGATGGAGAGAGATACTTAAAAAGGGATAGAAGCCGAATGGGGTTGAGCTCATGCACAGAAGAAAGCAGAAGCGATGTTGTAACACACAGGAGGAGAGCAAGACGAAGGGGTGAGAACAGCTACTCCAGCGGCATGTGTCACGGAGACAACCTAAAAATGTTTTAAAAAGATCACTTAGTGGCCAAAGTGCTTCTGTTTTTTATCAGTCCCCACGTACAATGGCTGAAAGCATGAGTCGCTTGTCCGGCTCATTGCTATGCAGTTAGGGCCTGGCTCAATGTGAACAGCTTATTTGTCCCACAAAGTGTTACTTGGGCTCTGTTGGTGGCAACCAGGAGAGACTATTTGGGTGTCTCACTTCATCGACAGTCAGTGCCTCCATCTGGTTATCAGCTGGAAGCTGGACCTTGGATTCTTTCCACTGCTGTGTGGCTCTGAGTCATCCTGGTGGCACTGTTCAAGACAACATCTCAAGGGAATCAGATGCAAGCATTTTGTTTCTCAACCTTGGTAGTTGTAACCTGTCTAGATGACAGGGGTCATCTGTTCCATTGAGTTCCATGAGTTCCATGAGTGTCAAGGGACATGGGACAAAGATGGTCTTTTAAGAAACAATCTGCCACAGGTTGGAGTCCTAAGGACAGTGGCAGAGTGGTGGATTCTGTGAACAGTTCTGGGAACCCCAGGGTTCAGCCTTTCTTCTTGGCTTCAATATTATTTGTTTATTTCCTTGATAGTTCCCTGAGCCTTTTTATGTGTTCTCTTGGACTTCAAACTGGAGTACCACATAGGAAAATTGGGGAAGGTTTCTTATTTAACATTGTCTAAAAACAAACAACACACACATGTTAAAAAACAAACAAACAAATGGGGCTGGAGAGAGGGCTCAATGGTTAAGAGCACTGGCTACTCTTCCAGAGGTCCTGAGTTCAATTCCCAGCAACCACATGGTGGTTCACAACCATCTGTACTGAGATCTGGTGCCCTCTTCTGGCATGTGGGCATACATGGAAGGAATGTTGTATACATAAGAAATAAATAAATAAATATTAAAAAAGCAAAAAAAAAAAAAACAAAACTAGAAATGCATAATTTTAACTTTCTATGTTGCTTAAAAACAATTACATAACAAGGTTAATAATAGCACTTGCTATTTTAGTACCTTAGTTTTAAGATCCTCGACGCCATTAATTTTTTAATACAAAGTAATTAAGTTAGCAAGAAAGATAATAAATTCTTTGCATCAGTCCATCTCTTTGTGGATAATTTGGTACTATTGTAACAACCATGGGACTGAAATAATGTAACAGGAAGCTGAGATGTTGTGAGTGGATTGTATAAAATTGTGGAGGGAGGTATTTAAAATTAGCCTACCTGAAAAGCTTCTCTCTAAGGCCAGTTTGTGCCTTGAGAATTGTTTACAAACTACCATTGGTGATGGGCTAGTTAGAATTTCTTGTTATGGATGTAATCAAACATATCTATTTCATGCTATGTTTTACTTACTCCATCAAATCCCGTTTTCATTTTGAAGACAATTATCTTAAGAGGGAGAAAAAAAAAACTTGTGAATTATAATTTAAGGCCAATAATGTCTCGATTCCTAACACTGGTGTAGTGTTCATTTATTTTCCTCACTATTTAAAGCTGCCCGCTGTAACATTTCAACATTTTACTAAGAAGGGAGATTTGTAATGTATCAGAACATCATACATTCAACATATTGCTATTCCAGGTGAAATATTTTCACCTAGTATCCTTTTATTTTTTGGTTTTTCAAGACAGGGTTTTTCTGTGTAGCTCTGCCTATCCTGGAACTCACTCTATAACCAGGCTGGCCTTGAACTCACAGAGCTCTTCTGTCTCTGCCTCCTGAGTGCTGGGATTAAAGGCCTGGGCCATCACCACCCAGTCCAGTGTCCTCTTAATTAGTACTCTAAACACTTCTGGCTGAGGCAGGAGACTGCTTCAAGTATCAAAGTTGGCTTATTTATGGCTTAGTTTTCCTGCTTCCCAGTTCTGCACAGCTCTTGGATCCTTATGATAACATAGGATACCTGCTTTTCCTATTCTGGAATATGTGGCCTTCTGTTTTCCTGGTTTCCACCCTCTTGACTAGGTGCATCTTTGCTTAAACTGGAGTCTGCAGCAAGTCCAGCAGCTTCTAAAACACAGCTTGTCTATGAAGCAAGAATCCATCATTTCTTGGCACATGGTTCTCTTACTTTCTTGGCAGCAGTCTTCACAGCCAGCTTGAGCTAAAAGAACAAAGCACCAGGCTCTGGGTGTCTGTATACTACACAGTTTTTCTCTTTACAGTTCTAAAAACTGAAAAGTCAGAAAGTCCAAGGCCAAAATGCTGGCAGATTCAAGGTCTGGCAAGAACTTGCTTTTTTCTTTTTTCCCCCCAGTTATGATCTTCTCACTGTGAGAAGTTTCCAGGGATCATTCTCGGGCCCCCTTTGTGTAAGGACACTGTGGTTTGAATGTAAAACGTCCCCCATAGACTTGTGTTTGACCACTTTCTAGTGCTGTTCTGGTAAGTTATGGGACCAATAGGAGGTAGAGCAATCTTGGTAGAAGTGAGTCATGGGCACAGGCTTGAAGTTTTATAGCCAGGACCCCCTTTCTGTTCTCTTTCTGCTTCCTGCCTAAAGATATGATGTGCCCAGAAGCTTCCTGCTCCTGTTCCCTATGTTCCCCCCCCCACCCCCAGGACAGAGCCTTTTCTCTCTGCCAGCCTAGGGGTACAAATCTTAACCCATGGATTTGGGGGAGTCATGCATATCTGTATCATGGAAATTTCATAAGAGAAAAGTAACACCTAATGGTTCTGCTTAAGCAAGCAGGTTCCAATGAATTAATGGTATGTAGTGATGTGGGACTTCCCTTTGTGTGCTGTGATTAGCATTAATGGATAAAGAAACTGCCTTGGCCAGATAGGGCAGAACTTAGGTAGGCGGAGAAGACAGAATTGAATTCTGGGAGGAAGAAAGCAGAGTCAGAGAAAGCCATGGACCCACGACTAAAGATAGACGTGCTGAGACTTTGCTGGTAGGCCACAACCTCGTGGTGACATAGAAATGGGTTAAACTAGTATGTAAGAGTTAGGCAATAAGAAGTTAGAGCTAATGGGCCAAACAGATTTTAATAATTACAGTTTCTGTGTGATTATTTCAGGGCTAAGCTAGCTGGGCGGCCGGGGCCAAACAAGCAGGCCCTCCTGCAACAGTGTTGAACTCAAAATCATAAAAATTTGTGAGTTCCCTGAGTACCACAGGGAGCACAGTTTGGGAACTAGAGTCTTACTGAGGGTTTTTATTGCTGTTAAGAGACACCAGGACCATGGCAATTCTATAAGGTAAAACACTTAATTGGAATGGCTCACTTAGAGTGTCAGAGGTTCAGCCTATTACCATCATGGTGGAGAGGATGGAGACATGTAGGCAGAGAAAGTGCTGGCTACATGTTGGCCAGAAGGCAGTAGGAAGTCAACTGACTGACTGGGCGATATCCTGCACAGGAAACCTCAAAGCCCCTGACAGTGACACACTTCCTCCAATAAGGCCACACCCACCCCAACACAGCCACGCCTCTAATTAGTGCCACTCCCTTTGAGATTATGGGTTCAGTTACATTCAAACTGTGATAGGAACCCCAGGTTGATACTCTGTCTCATTTTTTGGGCTTTGCACTTTTCCTCAGTGGAACCCATGTTCGTAATTTTCTCCCACACATCGGTCAGCACAACATTCCACAAGTGAACACGAGTTAATGGCAATATATTTATTTTTGCAACTTCCTGGATAAAAACCATTCAAGGAACATTTGGTAAGGTGTTATTCCCATAAAAACATCTTTTAAAACAAGTGGTTTTCTATTTCCCACAAGAGTTAAAATGACATGCAGAAACAAGGTTAGTGCCTTGGCTAGCACAGTACAACTTCAGAAGACACGTGGAGTAAGTAAGACCAGAGAATAAACTACATCATTAACCTCAAGTACACCACTAGAAAACTCACACAGTAGTAAAATATAAAAATCTACAATTATAAATATAAATTTGGTCCATGAAGACATCACAGCAGTATTTACATAAGTTATTAGATCACTCCTTCAGGTGAATTCTGCAGTTGTAAAATGTTGGGTGACATCGGGGATGAAGTGGTTGACTTACAATCTACTATATTAAAAGTTACATTTCTCGCAAACCTGATGACTGCTACAAATACAGCTAAAAATTTGACACTTAGAAACAAATGTTTTCCAAGGATGATGATTCCTATCATCTATAAATTGAAATTTTTCTGTTAAAATCAATATGGAAAAAAAATACCATAATTCAATTCTTAGAAACCCTGTAAAATTCAATCGTTTTAGTTTCAACATAATAAGTGAATTACAAGAAGTCTTTCAAAAAGGCACACATTGTTAATGGTGTCAATTTGGCAGCAGAATGAGTTACCATCACGTCACGGGAAGTAAACAGACAACAGAACTGACTCAGGTTTTCTAACTTTAGAAAGATGAGAACAATGCTTAGACTGGGTTGTCCTGTCCCCTTTCGGTGTTAAACTAAAGACTCCAGGCTTTCAGCTATATTTCCATCAGGCAAAGCTGCACCATTACTGTCCAGAGAGGCAGATGGATTCTCTTCCTGCCTTGTGCTGACGAGGCTGAGGACCACTTTGTAGAGAAACTGATACTGTTCCTAGAAAACACAGAGACGGAGATCACAAACAGGAAGCTCCACAGAGACATGAATTTGCAGAAGCCAGGAATGGATTTCAGATGCATTTTGGCAGTGTTCACAGAAGGGTGCAGGGCTATATTAAGGGCTTGTGCTCAGCGGAGGTGCACAATCTACATTTGGTTTTTACCTATTTGGCTACGTCAACATTGTTTTGTAATGAATGAGCAAGTGGACATTGGATTTGGAGGAGAAGCCCATGCACATCAGACAGTCATAAGCACTCAGTTCTTATTCCTTTGTTTTCTGCAGTCAGAAAACAATGCAAATGCAGTTCATCGGTGCTCAGCATTTATAGCCTTTTCAAAAGCAATGTCTTTCTTTCCTTTTTCTGCCTCGTTCTTTCTTAGTCTCATAAACCTGAAACTGGTGTTGAACTCACCATGTAGCTGAGGATGACTTGAGACTCTTGCCCCTGCCTCCCAAGTCATTGGACTATTCATCCAGGTTTTGTGGGGATCAAAACTTGTTCCTTGTGCTTTTTAAGGAAGCATTCTACTAACTGGGTCATACACCCCAACCCTCAAAGATAAGCATCTTACTTTCCTTTAATCACTTTGTAATCACATGTTTCTGTGCATCCAGAGAAAGGGCTCAACAATGACTGTAGTATATCACCAGAGCATAGCACCTTGACTGGACACACCACTCAGCAAATGTTCTTCACAATTTTATCATTCTGCCTGCTTAGATGGTCTGCCCTGAGAAAAGGGGTTTCATGCTACCAGATGATCCTTCGACGAGACCCTTTGTAATCAGCTAAGAAGACGGCAGTGATACCAGGACTTTGAAATCTGCCTGAGACTCTCATGAAGTTTCTCATTACTTTGTCACAATAATAACTTTCAGGTTCTTTCTAAGCTAAACTGTGGAACGGAAGGTAGTGTGTCTCGTTCTTGACTGTCGTGGCTCCTTCTTCTTAAAAGCACCCAGGAATCAGTTATTGGTCAATTTAAGATTCTGGATTTACTAGGGGTCATTCTTGTGGATTCTTGGGTAATGCCTTAGCACCAGGATTCTCCCTAACCCCATAGTGGCTCTCTCTATCAAGATATCTCTTTCATTGCTCTCCCACTACATCCCTCCCCTGCCACCATCTTGTTCCCTCATGTTATCATCCTCCTTCATTGCCCTTCCCTGCCCCCAGTTTACCCAAGAGATTTTATTTAATTCTCCATTCTAGGGACACCCATGTGTCTTTCTTAAAGTCCTCCTTGCTACATAGCTTTTCTGGAGCTGTGGATTGTAGTCTGGTTATTCTTTGTTTTACATCTAATTAGTATCCACTTATGAGTGAGTACATATAGTAGAGAGGGTGCCTGAACTGTCCTTCCCCTGTAATTACATTGGTGAATAGCCAGCCCAACTATCATCATAGAGCTTTCATCCAGTAACTGATGGAACCAGATGCAGAGATCTATAACCAAGCACTAGGTTGAGTTCCGGGAATCCAACTGAAAAGAGGGAGGAGGGAATATATGGGCAAGGGAGGTCAAGATCATGAAGGGGAACTCTACAAAGACAGTGGAGGAGAAACTCTAGACTGACAGGTGTGGAGCCTCCATGGTACACACTAAGCCCTCCATATGTGGGAGAAGTAGTGAAGCTTGGACTATTTGAGGAGCCTCTGGCAATAGTACCAGGATCTATCCCTGGTGCATGAGCTCACTTGATGGAGCCCATTCCCTGTAGTGGGATGCCATACTTAGTCTTAATGCAGGGAGGAGGGGCTTGGTCCTGCCCCAACTTAATGTGACAGACTTTGTTGAGCCATTACCCATTGGGAGGACTGGACTGGAGGTGGGCTGGGGAGAGGGGGAGTAGGAGCGAGAACTGTGGTTGGAATGTAAAAGGAAACTTTAAGTTAATCAATTAAAAAAAAAAACAACAAAAGAAACCCAAAATCAAAACAAAAAAACAAAATACAACAAACAAAAAAGAAACTGGATTTGGCTAGAGAAGAGTTAATAGTTCTAACATTTAAGTCTTTGAGATGTATCTCCTGGGGTTCTGTGAAGGCCCTACTTGAACCCCAGGAATTTAAGAACATAATTTGCTGAAGAAATCGATTTGTGGTTAATTCCACTAAAGATATTACGATTCACAATGAATCCTGTAAAAAGGGATGGTGTGACTTAGATTTTTTTTTAATCTGCCAGTCTTCTACAAGGTGCAGATTTGTAATTTAGCTTGAATGTTACCAACCACTGTGATCTTCCTTATACAGGATAAAAAGGCTTTAGTACCATCTAGGAAGTGATACTTCAAAAATGAAAGGTGATGTTCATCACTTACAATATCAGTGAAGACTCCCGGCCTCATTAAATTGATCATCTTGGCTACTTGATAAACATCCATGGAATTTTCTTTTTCTAGTTGGTGCATAAGTGTTGTCAGAGCACAGAAAGTTCCTGCTGTTACTCCTCCATGCCTTGCAATAAAGAGAAAAGGTAAAGACTCCATTCAGATGCATCAAATGCCTTTGTAACTGAGAGCACAGTCTTGAAATGGCATGTCTTTCCTTCTTTTCATTGTACAAGACTTAAGGTTGAATTGGACAGAGTGCCAAGTGTTCATGGCATTAATAGCAAAGTCCTTTATAGAAACTTTACTGTTTGTGTAAGCATTGTTATTTTTATTCTATTAAAGGGGCAGGTAAAACATGTTTGACTGAAGTTATAATATATATACTATATACCTTATAGAATAGCTATATAACACAATTCTAGCATTTTTCATTGTTACAGAAACAGAAAAAAAATCATTGGATAAAGAGCTCTCTTTCAGAAAAAACAGAAACAAAACCAACAAGAAACATCAAACAATAGTCAATTTTTACTCCTTTCTCAAGAAGTGAATAGCTGAGACATATCCTGGGGTAGCTTCCAGTGCTGAAACCTTATCTCATCTCAACAAATGCCCCCGCTATAAAGCGTAAGAGCAGATTCTGTGTTCATATCTAAGTCTTTAGCCTTTACCAGAAGTTACAAAAAAGGGAAAATGTTCTGTGTGACCTTTGATGATAAACAAATCCACTCTGGTTGAATCAGCACATGCGCACAAAGCACCAGGCTGGTCTGAAGACAAGAGAAGCATGCATATACCCAGAGGTGTACAGCGATTGAGACTGTGAAACTTACTCATCGTGAACAATCATGGGTCCATCCCTGTTAGCAGCTTCGTCTTTGATAATACTTATAAGCTCAAATGTTTTACTAATGGGACCATCCGGGTTTGGCCATTTGGGGCACTGAAAATGCCTTACTTCCAGAACATAATCATCCTACAAGAAGAAAGCACAAATTAGTGTTTTTAAAGGGTGCCGGCTAGTAAAAGTTTATCACGAGTGGAACAACTGGAAAAAAAAATTAGAAACTGAAGCTAGACAATGAAAAGAAATATCATCTCTCATTGTGGAAGGAGAAAATCATTGCAATGGGACAAATGTCTCAAAATCAGTTTTATGCAGTAAATGTAAACTTCCCAGACAACCAAAATACTATTAACAAAGAAAATAAAGTCATGTATTGACTCATCAAATATCAAGAATTATTATAAGCTAAAACGAAGGGATTTCCATGTTAACAGAGGGAGCAATGAGGAGCCCACTGGAAAGAAGTGCTGACGCTAGGAACAAGTCCATAATGCTACATGTGTGGCTGAGCTGGTACTGCTGATTTGTAAGCGCTGGGACATTAGGGCAGTGATAGTGTATGGAAAATATACGTGTACTCTTGACTTGCAAAAAGGAATACAAAAAATAAAGGTAAGATACAAAACATTTAGAAAACAATGCTACATAGGAAAAAGTGTCTTGATTTCAGACATATCTTGTTGTGGTTTTCAGTCTGTTTTTGGTGCAAAGAATAGAACCCAGGGATGCCTGCATGCTACACCTTCATTCTGCCACTGAACTGCATCCTTGATCCCCAACAGGGTTTTTCTTAACAGTGAATGTTAAGTGATAGATTCTTCATAACAAAATGGGTGAGGTAATAAAATCCACATGAATCAGGCTTGTAAACCTTCATTTACAAAATAAATAAATAAATAAATAAATAATTTTTAAATTACATAAAAGAATATTTGCAACATATGTAGCGGGAAAGGGATTAATAGCTAGACTCTAAAAAGACCCCACATAAGTAAATAAGTCAATTGTTAAGGCTCTAATGGAAACTTGGGCAAAATCCCTGACGGCTTACCACTAGAAATTAATTACCAATGCAATGACCAACACAATTTTGGAGAGATATTCACCTTCATTTTCAACAAGAAAAATTCAAACTAATGGAGCAAAAAATGTCATTTCATCCCCAATACAAGCAGTGGGGAGGAGAGTCCAAGTTTCCTGTGGGCTCTAAACGGGAGGGCAATAGGCCCACTTTTCCAACAATCACAACACTGAAAAGTTGAAAGTGCTGATTCTCCATGACCCTAAGGTGGATCCATGAAAAATTTGCATATGTGTAAACACATTTCATTTGGTGAGGTACCACTTGAAATAGCAAAAATCTGAACAAAACAAAATGAAGCAAAAAGACCAAAAAACCAACTTCAAACAAGTAGTGGCCTAAATATAAGATAGAGAAACCATACTGGATATGTTGATAGCAGAAGCAAACAGAATTGACTTATACCCAATTACGTAAAAAAATGTCATCAACGTTATAATGAGGCAAAGTAGCAAATAGTTGAAAAGTATACATAATTTATGTGAAGGTCAAGATATAAAGTTGAAACAACAGAACCTTAAAGAAAACAGAGATAAAAGGAGAAATTACAAAGTAAGTCAAAAGAATTCAGGAAGAGGTTACTGTATCTGAAGGGAGGACAGCATGAATGAGTAGGAACGTGAAGGATCTTCAAGGTCAAGATTAGGTTCCTTTACTGAACTCAGTAGCCAGAGAATCATTTACTGCATCACTGTACTATATTATATATACTATGTTAAAAATAGTTTTTATAAAAAATAAATAACAGACACCCAGATTTTGACTTTCATTATTTAACAAACTTTCTGGATGTTGAAGTGAGTCTGGTCCATACAGCATCATCTTTTACCTCTTTACCAGCCTCAAATGCTATGACTTTTAAGAGACAGTAGCTATAAATGAACTGGATGGAAATGCCTACTTTATCTTGCCTTCCCAACCGTTGCTTTAGAACTACCTATTATTTCTGGACTGGTTTTCTAGAGATTAGGGCACTAACGACATTTGATTTACATACTTGAGATGCATTGAACTGGAGTTAGTCATAAATGCTTATTATTTAGTGTGTTTTCTGTAAAATATTAGGGAAAGGCTGTATTTCCTAAGGCTGAGCTAGGCAATGAGAGGGATAGGATAATCAGTAGAACAAGACAACGGATCTGTAATGAATATTTTCTTGAAATAAGCCTTCTTACTAATGACAGAGACCTATGGGAGGAAAGCATGACACCATGCTGATTTTAAAACAAAAGATGTGGAATTAGGCTCTGCAGTTAAGAGCACTAGCAGCTCTTCAGAGGACAATTCCCAGCACCAATGTGATGGCACCTGCAGCTCCCATTCTAGGGGATCTGATGTTCTTTTGGCTTCCATGGGAACTGCATGCATGTGGTGTACAGACAAAAAAGCAGATAAGACATCCATTTACAGAAAATAAAAATTAATCTCAAAGTAAAGTGAATTAAAATTAAATTTTTTAAAAAATATTTTTAACTTAAGTTCTCACGGCAACCAATCTGGAGTAAAAGAGAAATCTTTGCTTTTCTGACAACACAGAGTTAAGGATTGTCTAGTTTAGCTAAGATTAATAGCTTGATGATTCTGTCTGATTTTGGAAGTAAAAATTGTAAGTAAAGGAATATTGGTTAGTTCTGAAATTTTGAGCATTTGTAAGAAATCGGACTCTTTTCCACTTCTTAAAAAAGACAAGATTTTCTGAGTGATTGGAAGCATGGGAGAGGCTAGAAGGGAAGCAGGAGGAAGGGAGGGAAGCTGAGAAAAATAAACAGTTCAATAAAACAATTAAAAAAAGAATTATAAAAAAAGAAAGATTCCCAAGTTAGCACATCTCACACAAGAGCAGGGCATGTGTTCATCCCTTAACATGTCTCCATACCTGTGTCGCTTCTAAGATGAAGTCTTGAACTATCAGTTTTTCCTCATTCGACAGACATTTGTGTTCTTCAGACATAAGAGTGACTTTGAAGCTTTCACAGTTGATGGGCTCGTCTTTATTTGGCCAGTAAACAAATTCATCTTCTGCCTGAAGGAGACCAAGGAAGGGCGTAGACTTTCAGACTGGCTCATTGGTCTGATTGTGAAATAAGATCCTTAGTTGGCGTACTAATTTCAAATCAAAATTTTCTTTAAATAACAAAATTTACCATTAAAATGTTCTTGATATCTTAATGCACCTTAGATTTGTGTGTAAAATAAAACCTCACACCACCCAAACTATTGCCATGGCAGTTTGTGCTCTTGACTCAACAGTAGTAGCATTACTGAGCCTGTTACTTCTTTTTTTTTAAATATTTATTTATTTATTTATTTATTTATTATGTATACAATATTCTGTCTGCAGGCCAGAAGAGGGCACAGATGGTTGTGAGCCACCATGTGGTTGCTGGGATTTGAACTCAGGACCTTTGGAAGAACAAGCAATGCTCTTAACCGCTGAGCCATCTCTCCAGCCCTGAGCCTGTTGCTTCTATAACTGACAACTGAGTAGGGCTAGCAAAGCAAGAGTTCATCAGTTTCTAGCATGATTTGGAATCTCTGTGACTTTAGATACACGAACTGAGTATGAGGGTTCATTAGGGATATATGCAAAGCCAGAGTCAAACATTAATGTTGACTAAGCCTTTAGGTTTTACAAACACTGAGAAAAGAGTGGATTTCCACTGATATTCTGATTTTGAAGAGGCTCTTTCTTTACAAGTTTATATTGTTTAAAAAACGAAGCTTTCTAGTATGGAGAGGAGAGGAGCTCATGGGGCACCATTCTAGCTGAGGAGCTGAGGTGAGAGCAGCTTGCAGAGGAGGATTTATTCTTCTTTGGGGCTATGGCACTTGTAGGGTGCCCATCTTCCAGTGGGCAGTGATGTATCCATGCATATACGGTCAACAATAATTGTAGTGAAATCTTTAAAAAGGATAAACCAAACACTTCATGTTGGGAGAGGTGTGTGTTGGGAAAATCCAGGAGTTGGGGGTGAACCTATTTCACTTTATGCATGTATGAAATTCTCAAAGAACAAATTTGAAAGTTTCCTAAATCTCCCTCTTCTTCATAAAAAGACTCACACTACCGAGTCAACATGGAACAGCCTTGGTTGATATTATTAGGAGAATGTAACTACTTCTTCAACTATGCCTTCATGGGATTGTAAACAAAGTAATAAAATAAAAAAACAGAGACTTAAATGGGATTTTCAACACAATGTTATGTATTTTATCTTAAAAATGCCAATAGAAGAGTAAAGTCTTGGGTCATTTGTGGTTGCGCTCCTGATGTGCTTACGTAGCGTCATAAATGCATCTTTAGCAATTTTAATCTTTCATTTAGATCTCTCATTCATTACTTCGATCCAGTGGGACTATATAACTAATCCAGCCCAGCAAAGCACGACTCCAGGGAGATTAGTCCATTAGGTAGAAATAAGATTACCTTTTCGGTGTGTGCACGATAGGCTTCTGGCTATTGCAATATTATGTTATCCTTGTAAGAAATGAAACAAAAGTGACCTACCATGTTTTGACCATCTGGAATCATCACCACCAGCTGGGCATTATGATCCCATATCATCCTCCAGAAGTCCTTAATGGTGTGCAGAAGGGGATGCTGGGTGATGATAAATTCATTGCTCTGGTAATAACCCTACAAAACCAAAGACAAGATAAAAGAACCCTGATAGGACTTGGCAGAGAAACATGTTTTGTGTTAAAGTAGTGAATTTAATTGTAGATATAGTATTGAAATAATACTGAATTACAACTAGCATTTGCTGGGTACTGTCTATTCGCTAGGTATAGTTCCTTCCTATTAAAGAATCAATGAGACAGAGATAGAAACCATAACTTTCATTTTAATGGTGACCAAACTGGGGTAAAATTAAGTGTTGTGGGCAACTTTATCTTAAGAAATGCTATGACCACTAGGAGTAGAAGTACCAAAATGGCTTGTGCACATGCGTCTTGCACTAGGTAGAGTGGAAATCCATGACAGAGTTTACAATCCTTATTGTCCACAAGCTCGTAGAGTGGAAATCCATGACAGAGTTTACAATCCTTATTGTCCACAAGCTCCTGGCATCAGAATACTAAATCTCACACCTCTTCACCATAGGTCACCTTCCATGTCCTGGCCTCATGGCTGCCTCCCCTATGAGAGGGATCAGGAAGGCTCCTTTCTGGTTATATTTATGAAGCCTGAAAAGTGGGGTAACAGGATCAAATGGTTTCCATGCTGTGTACTGTGTGGTCTTTCACTTCTCCCACGGACTCATCTGAAGTGGGGTGTGTTCGACAGCAGTATCTGCACATCACCTTGTTCCCCACATGCATATTCTTTAGTCATGTCTTTGCTGGACAACCAGAACAATGGCTTGGGCATTAAGATTAAGACTCTCATTTGAAACCAAGCTGTGTGACTGACCATCCTGCGATGTTAATAAAGGATCATGAAATCATCAAAGCACCCAGCCACTCAGCAGACAACCTCCTTGGAGAAGGTCGTTAGAAACCTAATAGCTCAAGTGAATCCAGTATACAGGGAAGAGCTATGTTAAAAACCTGGGGTGCTAACTATAGTGAATTTGAGCTTCCTGTGTCCTGCGGATGTGTCCTGTCTCTGCCACAGATGGGTGCAGAGGAATGGAAACATATGATTTATATTTGTCCATTAGCTCTGAAGGGTGAATTTGAGACCCTGTGCTAACTTATTAATTTTGCTTGAGATTTCTTCAGTACCAGCACACATGAAAACCTCAAGGTGTGCTGGTATTCCTCTGGTCGCTAATAACTGTGTGCCAAAATTATTATATGGGACTGATGTCCTAGAGGTGCTGTTGGGAGCCAGCCTGCTCTGCTGGTAATTCTGGTAACACGCAGGCTGTTGGTGAGCTCTCCCAGGATGTCTTTGACTTACCATGATATAGGATGCATTGATGTAGTCTGTGCCTTCCCCACTCAGCGACGAAATGCCCACCCTCGATCTCTCCACTGGAACACAGAACATTCCAAGTAAACAAACATGCTTGCTGTGATTAGCCACTTTCCCCCAACAACTCCCAAATGTTAACCAAAGTTACACTTCTCAACGAGAGCCTTTGACGGTTAAACTAATCGGCTAACGAATTGTTAAAGTCAAGTTTTGCATTCTGGGATAAGGCTCCAAGGACTTGAATCCTTTTAAATGATCACATGCTGGGTATAATTAGAATAATGTGACAACAGACATAACATTATGATTGGTATACATGTCTCTTACAGACAGACGCGTGGGCCTTTTGTTATGGAAATAAAAACCCGAGTGGATGTCTCAGGATTCCATGTGACATACCAGGGATGATGGACGATGCTCTGTTCTTCTCCCTGTTGCACTGTTTCAGGGCTGCCGAGTAATCGCTCTGAAGAATATTGGACTGGCTCAGAAGCTGACACGGGAGACAAGGAAGAGTGCAGGTCATTTCACACACGGCCACAGATGCCCGAAGCACACCGACAACCCCTCAACAAAAGAAGGACACTGCAAACATGGCCGACGTGTTTCCTATGGCTTGATTTAAGCCCCTTTCTAGTCACGTCCAGAAGCATCTAGGCTGTATTTCAAGACCTTTGATTATGAGAGAGACCTCCTGATGGCTTCCTTTGTGGCCCTGTGCCCTCCATTTCCACTAATTACTTTCACTGGTGTTAAATCGTTATTTAATTTCTGGAAGGAATCCTGCAAACTACTTCATCAGGATGCTAAAGTGTATACTGTTGGTTTTCGGTGACTGAAACCTTAAATACCATTCTATTGACACTGCCCTATAAATGTCGTATACACACACCTTCTTGGTACCAAATAATTATGTGTTTCATAAAGTAGATCGGCTGATTTTCCACCTAGATTTTTTTCCCCACCAGTATTTGGAAATTTTTGTTTCTTAAAAATCTGGCAAAGCCTTATTTCCTACCCCCACCTTTATAGTATGTTTTCATTTAAAGGTTAGAAAATATTTCTAGGGACCTAGAGAGATGGCTCAGTGGCAAAGAGCACTGGATGCTCTTCCAGAGGACCACAGTTCAATTCCCAGCACCCACATGACAGCTTAAAAGTTTCTGTAACTCCAAGACGTGACACTCTCACACAGACATACATGCAGACACAATGTCAATATGCATAAAAATAGATATATTATTTTAAAAAGGGAAAAATATTTCTAAAGTATTAATCATGTTCTATCACCCCCTTCCATTTTTGAAAATAGGGTCTCACTCTGTAGCCCAGGCTGATGTTGAATCTGTGGCAACCCTTATGCCTCAGCATCTTGAATGCTGGGATTCCAGGTGTGGGCCATTGTACCCAGCATGTACCTACTTAGCTTGTGAATATTTTCCTCTTTCTGCATCAAGTGCAGACTGGTACCTGTTCCTTGTGTTTTCTCTTGGCTGCCAGCCTGGGGGGCTGTCCATTCCTTTCCAAGCACATCTGTTATGTAAACCACTGAGTTCTTTCTACTTCATAACCCAGCCCTTCCCCTGTGTTCTCAATCCTACCTCTGCACTTACTAAGGATCTTTGCAAATTCCAATTTTCTTCCTTCACCTAGTTAAAAGATGCTCATACATCTCTTCTTAAAGCATAATCAAAATAAAGAATAAATAACATAAAGTCTGTCCTACTCGCTAAGCTTGTATTTCCTAGTAACTATCATCTTTATTATTCCTTTCAGAGTCAAGTTTTAAAAAGGTAATATTTTTATTCATGTATATATATATATATGTGTGTGTGTGTGTGTGTGTGTGTGTGTGTGTGTGTGTGCACAGTTCTCTGTGAGCATGCCAAATGTGTTCAGGAGTCCATAAAAAAAAAACAGAAAATGATATTGTATTTGTTGGAGCTGTAGTTGTATTAGTTGACAGCCACCTGATGTGGGTGCTACGACCCGAACTTAGGTACTCTGGAAGAGTAGCGATCAATCTTAACTGCTGAGACATCTCTACGGACTTCAGAAAACCACTTTTTAAAAAGAGCTATGTGACTGTTCTCTATGCTTCCTCAAATACAGTTGGTTTATAAAGCTGATTTTTTTTTTCTGATTTTAAGAACTCTGATTTTAATGAAAAGTCAGGCAGGCATTAAGGTTGATAAAGAAAGCCTGTTCTAAGTGCTATCACTACAGTGGCAGATAGTGAGGTGCTCACACAGGAGAGACAACTTTTTAGCTTGACGTTAAAGGGTACCACAAGATACTCCCAACTGTGAGAGGAACAGATTTCTCCCGAAGATCTCTGTGAACTATCAGCCATTTCTATCAGGGGACTGATGCGGTCAGATATAGTTAGAAGCTCATTCTGCTGGCACTTGTGAGTCAGGCTGGCAGCAAGGATGATGACCTAGTCAGCTGTCACAGTAACAAATCTAGGCAGACCCAGTAGGGACTTGAATTAAATCCACAACCGGAGGGACAGAAAACAGTCAAGAGATGTTTGACAGGACGTAAGCTCCATTAGATTCAGGAGATGACAATGTTAAAGATGTCATTGAGCCTTAGTTGGAATTAGAGGTGATAAAGCTGATTTTTTAAAAGCTTGGTGCACAAAGAGACAGGCATTACCAGATCCTTTTCATACACATATGTCAATATATTTTGTTCTATTTGTCCCTCCTCTAATGCCTTATCCTTCTTCTCGCCTGCTTCTTGCAGTGTTCTCTCCATTTGGTTTGTAACTCTGTTATCTGGTTTCAACGCCCCACTTCTGTGACACAGCTCCTGCAAAAGGTCAGCCCCATTGCCTTCTGCCCAGGAATTCCTTTGTTATCAGCATTTGCCGCCTCTTCATTTTTCTTTCTGCTTGAAATCTTACTTTCTTTGGATTCTTTTATCTGTCACTATTTCTTATTCTCTCCTGATTTCCACTTACTCCTCTTAACTCCTTTGATTCCTGCTTTTTATTTTTATTTATTTATTTATTTTTTGGTTTTTCGAAGTACTGGGGTTTGAGCCCAGAGCATGGTGCATGCTAGGTAAGAGCTCTCCCACTGAGCTGTGTCTCTCTCTATACCTTCTCGCAAACCTTCATAAACACCTCATTTTTAGTACTCATCTTACCCAGATCCAAGACTTCAAATAAGCATCTCCAAGTTGGTCCAGGCTTTATCTCTTACCATTTAAATTCAGTATTAAGTTACGTACTACACACCTTAACTGAAGCATGTTCTGCTATTGTTTGGTTATGGTTTGAATGTGCTCCTCAAGGCTTCATGTGTTCAAATTTAATCCCTGCTGTGAGGTATTGAGAGTGTGAAAACTGAGGTCAGCTGTGGTGTATAGAGGTGGAGATTTGGGGAGGTGACTAGGATTACATTAAGTCTTTAGGTTAGAGGTCCCATGAATGAATCCTAGTAGCTTTATATTTTATAAGAGGTGGAGAGTTTTACACACACACACACACACACACACACACACACACACACACAGATGCACGCATGCACATGCTTATCATGTTGCCAGGTGATGTTCTGAGAAACTCGAGACTTTGCCATTTGGGAAAAAAGCCATCACCGGATGTGAGTCCTTGTCCCACGTGTCCATAGAATCAACACCCAAGGAAACATTTTTTTCTAGAGCCCTGTACCTCAGTCATTTGATTTAACGAGAACGATTTTGCTAATGTGCCTCTAGTAATTCAAAGTTACATAGACATACAAGTGATCTGAGCATCTTGTCCTCCACCACATCCTGTGTTTGCGTGCCTTCTCTCTTGTATTCTCAGTCACAGAGACCATCGCTCCCTCCCACTTAACAGAGTATGAGCTATTATAGTTGACTTTTCTCCTTTGCAAATGTTTGATTTGTAGGATAAGTCAAACGAGTCCTCTTCTGGATGCAGACAGTTAGTCCCTACGTTGCACCCTCATCGGTGCACCTACAGAATCTTTCCTTCCACAGTGGGACGTCCCAGAGTTCTGGGTTTGTCTACTTTCTTATCTTTCTCTCTCGTTAGCATGCAAGCACCATGAGAGTGAGAGCTGAATGTGCTCTGTTAATTTTTAAAGATGTATTTTAATTTAAATTATGTGTGCATGTGTATGTGTGTGGTTACATGTATATGTGAGTTCAGGTATCTGAGGAGTCCAGAAGAAGATTCTGGATTCCCTAAAGCTGAAGTCACAGGCTGTTTATGAGCTACCCATGGTGGGTGCTTTGAATAAATGTGGGTCCTTAGCTAGAGCAGATCAGATCTCCCAACTGCTGAGCCTTCTCTCCAGCTGCTCCTTTACTATGTGAGTGTGTGAATATCTGTGTGTGAGCGTGCGTGTGTATATGTGTGTGTGTTTATGTAGAGGCTGGAGGTTGATACCACATATCTTTGTCAGAAGTTCATGTTTTCTTATGTGATCTCTAACTGAACCTGGACCTCAATGATTCACTTAGACTGATGAGACAGCGAGCCTAGAGATGCACAGGGACCTGCTTCCACAGGCTGGATTAAAGGCCCCGCACCACTTATGTGAAGCTTTTCCTATGGGGTTGGGAATGCAAATACACACTCTCATGTTCATGCAGCAAGCACTTTACCAATTGAACCATCGCCTCAGCCCACAAGTTCATAGTTCAGTACTAACCCCTGAAGCCTGCCATCTAATAGGTATCTGGTAAGTATTTATAGAATAGACATGTAATTTGTTTTAAAGAAAATTCTCTTTATATGAACTTGAATGAATACTGTTTTAAATAAGACAGTGCACCTTACACCTGCGTTTCCATGCTGATATTGTGAACAGGAACAAAAGAGCCAAATCTCTGTTTTGAAGAACGTTTAAGTTTTATTTCTATTTCAACCCTGACTAATTCATCTTAAGTCATATCAATTCTCTTATGTGGCTGTGCACTGGGTTAATCATATTTAAGTGAGATTATATTGACAATATAATATATATTTTATATTGATATAAAGGTGATATAACTTTAAAATTAGGAAGTGAGATTTCCTTCTATCTCTGTAAAGGTTATGCTTGCCAGCTAATTTTCTTGATTTATGTTTCTTTATTATTTCTAAAAACCAGACTGTATACTTTCTCCAATCCATCCCTTTGAAACCCACATAGGCCTACTGAGAGAGACACGGCATCTTTCTGAAAACAAAATCTGGGGTCAGCAGTCACCCCAATCTTTCTCTTCCTTTCCCAGAGCACAAAAAGGGAAGCTCCAAGTAGGTAGGAGTAGGGGGCTGACAGTTAGCACACCATGTTGTGGGCTAGGCAAAGAACAAGAAGAAAAGATCTCAATCTAAAACTTCTGAGCCTTTCCTAGGGTCTTCTCAATTCTCCCCAGATAGTTTCTCCTTAGAAAGTAACCCTGTTTCTCCTGAAACCTTGAGAAGCTTAAGGATAGCGTGGGTTGTGTGAAGGGAAAGTACAGCTCTCATTCCTAGTCTGAGCCTGTACCTTCTCTGGTACAAGATGCAGGTCGGCTAGCACGCACTTTCTGAAATCTTTGCAAAGCTATTTCCGAAAGTCGGAGCACTAGCATTTTGGAAATTCGGGAACAAACAAAGCATGTCTCCCTCCCTCACTGGTTTTTCTTCTGCGAGACTGGTGAGTGGGAGAAACTGGGGTTGAGGCAGCTATTCTGCGTAGGTGACCTGTTCTAGCCCAAGGGTTTCAAGTGAGACACAGGTTGTCTCCAAGAGTAGCAGGAACAGCCTGAGCCACTGCTCTTGTGCTGAAGTGGTCTGGTTCTTTTGAAAGCAAAAAGAGTACTTCTCCAGTTTGTATTCTGAGTCCTGTCTGTTCATTCTATAATTCTGCGTCCTTCTTTCCTGGGTCACATCTGCATTTATCAAAGTTAGCCCATGGTTTCTGACAACTTTTCCTCTTGTTACTAGAATTAAGCGTCTCTTTAAAATCTATCTCCTGGCCCTGTAACCTTTTGTAAGGAACAAGGGTGATTCAAATGCAAAGCCATTATTCCAGCAACACTTCCAACTCCTCCACATGGGCCTTGTCTAGTCAAATAAGGAGCTACAGGGACATTCAGTTCTGTAGTGACAGCAGAGAGGCATTGAAGCAAGCAAACTCACCTGGAACTGTTTTTCTAATTTTGTCTTCCCTGTTGGTCCAGGTATGAGGAGTGTATTAACATAGGAATGAATGTGGCTGTCCGGCACCTCTGTTTCTTTGCTGAGTATGGCCTCAACCAGTGTGTCATGAATGAAGACATACTGCTCCTGAGAAAACAATGGTGACAGGAAGACTGCTTTAGATTTTCTGACGGATACCTAGGTATAAATGCAGAAACTTGCCTTGACAGAATGCTAGCGTTCAACAAAATGGCCATGAGAGGTCTTGCCGAAGATTGCTCATGGCTAGAAAGCAGACCGGAGAGGGGGTCCAGAGAGAAACAACCTCCCTCTCTGTTTGTCCCACGTCGATCTTGGTGGACACAAAAACAGAAAACTCGCAAGGGTAAAGCAAAGTCCTCTGCCCTCCTGCAGTCTCAAACCTCACCAGAAGCTCTGGGGCCAAGGGAGTGCTTCTCACGGGAAATACTTTGCTCTCCTGGTAGCCTGTTACATACGAGCAAAGTAGGTTCCTGGTTAGGTATGTGTCTTTGCTACACAAATCCAGACATTCCTGGGAGGAGGACCGCTCAATCAAGGAATTGTTTCCCTGAGATTCGCCTGTGGGTGTGTCTATGGGGGTATTTTCTTGATTGTGAAGAGATGTAAGCGGGTCCACCCTACGGCACTGTGGGTGATGCCATCCCAAGGCAGGTAGGTGTTGGCTGTATAAAAAAACGGTAGCTATAGAAGTCAGGGGAATTGAGAGTCGGCAATCTTCCAGAATCTCTACTTCAGTTCCTTCCCTGTCTTTCATGGCTGGTGGACTGAAACCTGTAAGCCAAACAAACCTTTTTCTCCCAAGTGGTTCTGGTCACACTGTTCGGTCACAGCCACAGGGAACAAGTTTGTCTGGTTTGTATTCAAAAACTCTCCTATATTTCGTTAGTTAGACTTCTCTCTGGTCCTGTCTAGCAGAAAATTATCTCAGTGATGGAATTTGGCTTTGGCTTTTTTGTTTGTTTGTTTGTTTCAGACTGGCCACATATGTCTTAGTATGCTTACGTTGGTATCATAACTTTCAATCTACAATTATTTTCATTTGAAAATAGGAAAGAATAACACAGAGATCTTTCAACTCTGCCCTGTCTTATATTTGATCATGTACTTTAAATAAACCAACCAAATCCATTAATTTCCCGCATTGAGCAGCGTTAGCTGTTCACTCGCATTGGTGGCTCTTGACCGTTCTACTGAGGCGGAGACTTTACCATAGCTCATACCATCCGAAAGCCCTCATTTTCTCACAAAATGGGCAGAATTTAGCTGTCCTAGTCATGACTCATTTGTAACTTACTGTTATAGGTCGAACTGTATTTCCTTGAAAGATAAATTGAAACTCAGCACAGGAATACCTCTGAATACAGTCTTACTTATAGATAGCGGTACCACAGGTATGATTAGCATAGAGAGGTGGCGGGCATTCACATTAGAGAAGGGAAGTTTAGACACAGAGGGAAGAAAGCCATGAAGAGACAGAGGGAAAAATTAGAATAATGTTCCCATGATCAAGGATACACACAGCCCCCAGAATCCAAAACAAAGCCAGAAAGCACACAACTCTCCAAGCTTATGGAGGATCGAAGCCCGGCGAAGACTTCACTGATGGGCTTTTTCTGAATTCAGCCTGTAGCAAATACATTTCTGTCATTGTTATTTTTACTGTAAGTAGTCCCTCCTTACAGCCATTCTCAGAGACCAATGTACCTAGATTTCAGGGACACCTCCATACTTTAGACTACCAAGGATATATTTAAAAAGTCATACCTCCGTTTGCACCAAATAATTTCTTTGTGAACGAATGTGTTTTAAGAAGCCAAATATGTTGACAGTTCCTTCATGTTGAATCTGTTGCAGCATACTGTCCAGAACAATATATGTGCCCGTTCTCCCGACGCCAGCACTGACCAGAAGAAGAGAAAGAAAAACTCTTTAATGTCAAGTACAGAAAGAGTGTGAAGGTAGGTCACTATTAGCTGTCATGTTGAGAAAAACAGCTCCATTCCCCAAGAGAATAAGCCATATGCTTCGTGATCTAAAATTGGAGAGTTTGGCAGTTTGGGCTAACATGTTAAATAAGTTTACTTTTTGGTTGTTTCTGCTGTGGGTCAAATTGCAAGGCAACCTAGCTGTTTCTGAGGGATGTTTCAAAAACAGTTCCAAGAGTTATTGTTGTTTGTCTACTCTACAAGAAAATATTATGCACTGGGTACGTGAGTAAAGCAGACATTTAGTTTGACAGAAATGAAGCCGTCAGCTTCAGCAGATTTGAAAGGTAAAGGTCCCAGGGTCTGTGCTGCCAAGTAGACATGTTCGCAAAGGTTTTCACACTAATGAGAAAAAGAAAACTCGATGGGGCTTTCAGCTGAAAATTTCATCTCCGAGAGGCTACAAGGAATAAAGCACATCTCCTGCCATTTCTAAAGGGCCATTATTGTCCACCTTCTTTAGAGCCGCTGTCTGAGGGACAGAATCCAGGCAGGGCTTCTTTTCAAAAGTCCCCACAAGTACTACAGTTCGAATTAGCACCTGTTCTGCACAATAGTCAGACCCTTGTCCCTTTGCCGAGAGACAATCCCTGACCTTCAGAAGCCCGCTTCCTTGAATTCTCTGGTTTTCTTCAGTTTATTGTCAAGTTACCAGATTAAAAAAAAACCACCAGGATCAACCTCTCCAACTTTATCTGAGAACAAGACCAAGCAGGTGATTAAAATGTGTCAGATGAGCTGTGTATCAAAGATACTGCTATGAAAACACAGTCCCTGCTTCTCCTCAAATACTACATAAAGAAGTGAAAGTGATTTGGGCAGTGATGATGCTTGTCATACTTGTTTAGTATTAGCTTTGATTATTTTAACTGTAGAACATTACAGTGACATCTCCAGTACGAACTGTTCTCTTTTTCTCCCCCGCCCAACTGTGTAATTCCTTTTATCAGCCTCCTCTTGGAAAGTCTAGTTCTTGGGCAACAATGAATTGCTAATAGAGTCAGCGTGACTTTCAAGGAGCTGGGGAAACAAGAAAGGGATTTGGGGGAGCCAAAGTATTTGAAAAATTATCAGGTTTATCTTGCTAAATTTCTCCTCGTCTGAGTGCCTTGCTTTCTCTAATATATAAAGCTGGCATGATAAATTTGACAACAGATTTAGTCAGGACAAGGATGATGTTTTAAGCATTTTCACCCTATGGTGTTGTGTGTGGCTAACAGATGTTTAGGAAGAAAGCAGCGCTGTCCCTAACTCATACAGTTAATAAGCTGAAGTCCAGTTCAGATAGAGCAACATCTCCAGCCTGCCGGTTGTGACATCTCCAGCCTTCCAGTTGTGAGTCTAGCGTACTCGGTCTTACTGGTCAGTGCTTAGGAGGACGGGAAAATAATTTAACTTCTACTGCATGAAATCGCTTCCGGTTTGGGAAAGTGGCTCCTTCAGTCCCCTCGTGTCATCATAAGCAATCCGGCGCGCTTAGAAGCACGTCTTCGGGACTCACCTGCAGTGGACAACAACGGGCCCCACCGCGTGGCGCTTGGCCTGGGCAGCCTTTCTCACAAAGGTCAGCACTGGCAAGGAGTACTCCGGAACGCCCATGTCAGGCCACTGAGTGTAATGGTACTGCGTGACTAGGCGCCCACTGGATCTTCCTTTCTGGGAGCCCTGGAAGAGCGCAGACAGCTGAGAGCAGCAAGTAAGAATTATGTGTATTTATGGTGTACAGCATAAACAAGCCAGAGCCACTTTGGGAGAGAGAATATCAACTGAGAAAATGCCTCGCCACAACGGTCTATGGGCATGGCCTATGGTGCATTTTCCTTACTGACGATCGATGTGGGGGGACTCAGCTCCCTGTGGGCAGTACATCCCTGGGTTGGTGGTCCTGGGTACTATAACAGGTTGAGGAAGCCATGAGGAGCTAGATAATATATAGCTTTTTTCTATGGCCTCTGCATCAGGCCCCTGCCGTGAGTTCCTTCTCAGACTTTCCTCTGTAACGAGCTGTTGCCTAGAGTCATAAACTAAAATAAACTTTTTCTTCACCAAGTTGCTTTTGGTCATGGTGCTTTATCACAGCAACAGAAACCCTAAAACACTTACCTTTTTTATCTTTGTGTTTCTTAGGGTGAAATTCCTCACAGTATAGTAAGCAAGCACCTGAACATTCTTCTGGTTGACTAGGAAGCTTCCATATTCTTCACTACCATCAGTAGGCCAGTACTGGTCACATTTTCTCTGTAAAAGAAAAACATAATTATGTAATTTCCATGTTTCAAAATCCAATGTGCATATCACTCTTGAAGACAGTAAAGGTCTGGGAGACTGACATGAATGGACTCTTTATTATTATCGTTGTATATTCTCTTATGTCTATGAGTGTTTTTCATACATGTTTTTCAAGCATAGCTATGCACCACTTGTGTGTTTTCTGGCCCACAGAGGCCAGAAAATGACACTGGATGTTCTAGAACTTAAGTTACAGATGACTGTGAGCTGCCATTTGGGTGCTGGGATTCAACCTGGGTCCTCTGGAAGAACAGCCAGTCCATTCATTTCTCCAATCCTATCAATGAGCTCCGACACTTCTTGACTATTTTCTCTTCTTTCCTAAGCAACGGCAAATCAGTTTTAGATGATCCAGAGATAGAATCACAGGTCTGAAAGACATCTCATATGATCTAGTACCATGTTCCATCTTTCAGACAAGGGAAGTAAAACAGGAGCACTGGGTTACTATAGGCTCAGCACTCAAATCTAGGTTCCACGAATTTAAACCTACTCTGTTCTTCATTGGTTTTCATGAGTTCAATTTACTTTTCTTTATATTATGAATAATGCATTGAAGAAGTAGATCACTTGACCTGATGATAAAACATTTTCATTGATAATGGCAACAATTTCCTTTGAGTTGTCATGATACTAGAATGAATACCGTGGGCCTAGAAAACTGGTTCAGCAGTTAAGAGCAATTGTTACTCTTCCAGAGGACCTGGGTTCAATTTCTAGCAACCACATAGCAACTCACAAACTGTAATTCCAGTGCCTGGTGATCCAATGCCCTCTTCTGGTCTCCACAGGCACAGGACAAGTGTGCACAGATGTACACAAAGGCAAAACACCCATACATATAAGATAAAAATAACTAGGAAGAATACAATTATCTTTCATAATTTTTGCTGGTTTCCAATATTGACTATATCAGATATTAGAAGCAGCTGGAAATGATTTCATAGCCCTGCCATTCCAGCACATGGGACGGAGAGGAAGAAGGGATTAGGAAATCAAGATCAACTTTGTAGAGAGTTTGCAGTTAGCCTGGGTCACATGAAACCATGCCTTAGAAAATAAAACAAAATAAAATTATCTAATTAAAAGCACCGCTAACTGACAGATGACCACATACTCTTCCTTTCTCCACAAGGTTTGTTATCATAACGATGACTTCCACATTATGCTCCCATATCATTCTCCAGAAATCTTCTGCTGTGGACTTCAGTGGACCCTGGGCAGCAATGTAGGCCTTTGGCCGGTTGTAGCCCTGGAGAAACAAATCACAAGTATGTCTTGTTATGTAAATTACACACTTGTTTTAAACTGTGGAATCTAAGGTCAACACCCCTTTTCAATATCAGAAAACTACATAAATAACTTGCAAAGCTGTAGAACATTGATGATACTAATAAAGAGAGTAGCTTGCCTTCAACTTTAACTTTTTGGAAAGGTTAGTGAGTTCTCTTTAGACAACCACAGACTTATATCTCTACTTCAGAGGCATTTGGTCCAAAACTTTTGCTGTGCTTAAAGTCTGGTCCTTAATTGTGTTACTTTGAAATGTTTTTCAGGCAATAAGGCTCAGTTAAGAAAGTGTTCGAATTATGACCTCTTTCTTCTCCTTCTCAGTGTCAGGGGACACTGAGCCTGGCTAATCATTAACAGATGTCTCTTAAGAAGCAGACAGTGCTGTACTGATGCTGTGCAAACACTGCTCTAATCAATCATTGTACAAAATGGAAGCATCAGCCCTGACTTGGTGATGTGGAAACCAAATCTCAGAGAAATTAAATGACTGTCCAGTATCATTGCTAGCCAGGGACAGAGCTGGGATTATAAGCACTTATACCTTTTAAGCCTACATTGTTTTGACACACAAATGGCTTCCACTGGAAAAAAGAAATGGAAGTAGAAACTCACTTCTCTGAATTCAGTGTTGAATGTAGCCTTAACACAAAGATGCTGACCTGTGAGAACAGAGCCAGCAGTATAACAGAGTTCTGCTAACATCCAGTTGATCACATTGGGTAATTAAGTTCTGGCATTATCTACTGTTCCGAAGAATGCCATAAAGCTGATGTCATGAGGTTGCTTAAAACCACAGAGGCTGAATACTGGCTTCATAATATCATTTACCTATTGTTTAGTACTACCATTGAGAATTTTCACTTATATTTATTGATCATCTGTGATATACGTAACAGTATATCACATAGTTCCTGGAACAGGAACTCAAACTAAGTATAAGGCCTATACCCTCATATTTATGGAGTTATCAGTCTATCTGAATATCCATATTCTACCTGGAGTGTTGTATTTTCAGCCTAAATTCTTCCCTTGGTGTGGGAAGTCCTTCTGTATATGTGTTGCTTTTATTGGTAAATGAATAAAGCAGTTTCGGCCCGTGGCTTAGCAGAATAGAGCTAGGCAGGAAACCTAAATCGAATGTTGGGAGAAAGAAGATGGAGTCAGGGAGAACCATGTAGCTGCCAGAGGAGACAGATACCAGAACTTTGCCTGATAAGCCACAGTCACGTGGAGAGACACAGATTAATAGAAATGAGTTAATTTATGATATAAGAGCTAGCTAGAAAGATGCTTAAGTTATTGGCCAAACAGTATTGCAAATAATACAGTTTCTGTGCAGCTGTTTCAGGTCTGAGCAGCAGGAACAAATGAGCAGTCGCTGCCAACATTCCCTCTCTTAGAATATAACAGAAGGACTGTATTAGTTAACCCAAAGACCTATAGCCATAGGTTCTTAAAATTTATTCAGTTTTTTTTGTAATTTCATTATATATATATATATATATATTTAAAATGGTGGCACAAGAAAATTCAGGACTTTGCAAAATTTCCATAAAATTTTAAGTCAAATATGCTTACATCAACATAATTGGCATTGATGTAGTCAGTCAGCTTTCCATCTTTTTCAGCAAGTTGTGCAAGCTTAACCCTGCTATGATCATCTGGAACAACAATAACAACAAAGAATATATTTCACTAAAGCATAGACTTCTCTTCATAATAAAGACCTTCTATATTTGCACATAATTTTATTGTAAAATTAAATTCAAGAGAAAATAATATACTATCATAATTCTGGGTCATACTGATTTGAAAAACGTGACCAAGACGAATGGACAAGGATCTCAGATTTAAGAGTTTCTCATGCAGTGAGGCTGGAATTCCCAGAAAGTGACATGCAGGTGTGAAGAGGTAGGTACTACTACCAAGAGAAATGTAAAGTAGACACTATATTGGTGTAAAGAAGTGGTTCTCAACCTGTGGGTCACGGTCCCCATTGGATCACATACCATTTATTTACATTATGATTCATAACAGCAGCAAAATTACAGTTATACAGTTATGAAGTAGCAATGAAACAATTTTATCATGGGAGGGTCACCACCACAAGAGAAACCTTATTGAAGGATCACAACATTAGGAAGGTTGAGAACTACTGGCAATAACCAAAGTTTTCAGAGAAACTGGAATCTGGCATTGGTATCTTAGGTGGATTTTAAAAATGGTCCAGGGGTTAGGAATTATAGTATAATTAATAAAAACCCAGAGACAGATATTGGAGTTTAACCTGAAGACCAGAAAAACAAAGCAGCCAGCCACGGGTTCTTTCCTCTATGTCAGTCTGAAAATGGCAACCCTATTTCTCAAAATCCTAAGAATGAGACTGAGCCTGAGAACTGTCTCCTCTCATCTTATATTCCTCTGTAGTGTTGGGATTAAAGGTGTATGTCACCACCGCCTGGTCTGTAAGGCTGACCGGGGTGGCTGTTTTACTCTCTGATCTTCAGGCAAGCTTTATTTATTAAAATACAAATAAAATGTCACTACAGGGGATAGTGGTGTTGCCACTTGAGAGAAGAGGGATGGGAGTGTCTCAAAGAGTGAAGACTGGCAGCGGATACTGAACAGAAAGTTGGAAGAGGAAGAGACAGCAGGGAGGGAAGCTGAGGGACCCTTGGGAGTTTCCGGGAAGAGCTTGCTTGAAACAAGGACAAGGAAGTAAACACCGATCAAACTGTAGCAGTTCTATTAAGACGCCTGACACTGAGGCTTCCCTGACAATAGCAGACTACATGTGTACACACACATGTACAGAGAGTTGTGGCTCCTGAAATACGGGTCTGGGGGCCAGGCTGACCTGTTTCTATATTCTGAGCCTAACACATTTTTTAAAATTGGGGTTTTTTTTTTCATTTCTAAAATAGAGCCGTTAGTACCTGTTTTTGCAGGGTTATTTAGGTGGGAAATAAGATAGTACTATTTTCAGTGCTAAGGAAATAGCAGGTGTTTAACACATGTCAATTTCTGTTCCTTCTTAATGTAACCAGGATAACTGTCTCAGGGGAAGAAACAAACCCATAGTAGATCCTTCTGCTAAAAAGTAAATACTTGTTTGAAAGGAAGGAAGTATCTACGCAAACTGCTGAAGAGAACATGATAATGAAATGGAGGCATATGAAGTCTTACAGGCTGGACTGGAGCCAGAATTTAAGTGACCTTGTAGCAATGCATATGGTTAGGAAACCATCCAACCATCATAGGAGAAAAGACTGGAGTTTTTACATTTTTCTCCTTAGAGGGAAGAATGAACAGGAAACCAGATTTCAAGATGTGGAGGAAGTACCCTGCAGGCTACCAAAAGAGAAATACACACACAGACACACACACACACACACACACACACACACACACACACACCAACCCAGTCACAAAACCTTTGATCTACAATGCTGTCCTCTCTTTCAAAATATGCTATGGTAATGGTGGCACAAAGCTGGCGAATTAGTGAGTCAACGTCTGGGTTGACCACGGGCTAATCCATGAGATGGCACCTATACCAGACACTGCTTCGATGATCAAAACCAGAGACTAGATAGCCCAGAGACCTATAGCAAAAACAAATATTACTGGTCTTGGAAAAAAAGAAGTAGTGAGAGAATTACTTTTAATGACATTCTGCTATACTAACAAACTAATGTTCTACTCAGCCATCGTCAGAGAAACTTCTTCCTGCAGCAGATGGGAACAAATACAGAGACCCCCACCCCGCCTAGGGGTTAGACATTACACACACAGGAAAATGAGAGAGACCTTGGAACATTCAGCTCTAAATGGGATGTCTCCATCAAATTCCCCCCGCCCCCCACTTCAGAGCTCCAGGAATTCCATGGAAGAAGAGGCAGAAAGAGTCTAAGAGCCAGAGGGGATGGAGGACACCAGGAGAACAAGTCCCTCTGGATGAACTAAACAAAGCTCGTCTGAACTCACAACTGAAGGAGTAAGCACAGAGCTTTCACAGATTCGCATCAGGTCCTCTGAGTGTATAGTATAGCATTCAGTTTAGTGTTTTTATGGGATTCCCAAGTATGAGTGAGTGCGTTTTTATTCTTGTGCCTTCTCTTGGGCTCTTTTCCTTCTGTTGGTTTTCCTTGTCCAACTTCGAGGTGATGGATTTTGCTTTACCTTACTCTATTTTATCTGGTCATGTTTTGTTGTTACTTCTTAGAAGCCTGTTCTTTTCTAATGAGAGACAGAGAGAGGATCCGGATGGGAGGGAAGGTGGGAGGAATAAGATCCATAACAAGAATGAAGGAAGACAGAAATAAAACCACATCGAGGATGGAAGCGCCGAAGCGGCTTGAGGATGAGGAAAAAGGCAGCTAAGAAAAGATGGGAGGGAGGAATGAAAGGAGTATCTCTAGCAGATCCACCACAGAACCCAGGAAGAATGCCAAGAAAGGATGAAAGCAAGTGAAGGTAGGAGCGGATAAAGGAAATCAAGAGAAGCTCAGCAGGTTAGCAGGATCCACTAGGAGCGAGTGGATCCTAAGAAGGAGGATGACTGTGGACTATAAGCAATGGCTGAAACCTTAGTGAGAGAGATTTAGTCTATGGGGGTGAGGAAAGGACTAGATAAAAAGAGAAGTCCCTCTGTAAAAAGTAAACCCATGCCACTGACAGCAGCACGGGTGTCCTTAGTTTAACGCCGATATTAGCATGCTACAGAAACTTCCCTCCCTGACCACACAGGCCTTGAAACAACCCCAATAAAGGTCTACTGACAGATGATATGAGGACATCAATCGTCAGCCAACAGGAAAGCACGGATGATGCTTGAGTCAGCAGAGTAAAGAGCGTACTTACAGGCTACAATATTGACGTATCTGTTCTTGTGCTTGTTGTCTGGGTGATTGGAGCTGTCTGCTGTAATACCTAAGTCAACAGTACAGCTCTGCACTTCCTGGAAAAAAAAATGACATGCATAGCATTGTAACATTGACTCTTTTAAAACAAGTGCCTTTAAATATATATGGGAGACAAAACAAATAAAATAGTCTAACAAAAAATGTATACATATATATAGATACATATACATATTTATATGTTACAACTACTTCTTGGCTAAAAGAAAATGCAGTGAAATAATGCCTTACCTGGTAAAACTCTTTCAGTGTCTAATGAGGAAATGAATGCCAAAAAAGTAAAGAAACCAAATTCCACAGCACACGACAAATGAGAAAAGAAAGTGTTCATATTAGGTTTACAATGGAAAACTATGGTTATGCAATAAATACATTTGTCAACATACTAACACAACAGAATGTTTCAAACAGTTGCATGCAAATCAAAACACTTAATATTTTGGAACCTTGATTATGTAAATGAAAAAAACAGCATGTTTACATGGGGATGCGGGTGTAATATGATGAATATTTAAAATGCAAATAAGAACCACATATTCCATGACCCATTCTGTCATAGCGATTGGATTTGCTAATGTACAAATATAATTCGAATTGACCTCAATAGCACTATTTGAAACTCTGAATTAGTGATATATTTTTTGAGTTATTTTATGGAATAAATAGCTTCTTGTTAGGTGGTTTAGAGCAGATTTAGGGTTGTCAAAGTGTTAAATACTCCTAGAAGAGTTTTAATCATAGACATTGTCATATTGACATAAAATTTAAAAATCATTACTTTTTATAGATTTAATTAGTAGGTCAATTAAAAACAATTTCCATGGATAGAGAAAGTTCCAGTAACTTTCTATTAAAATGGATTAAAGATTTTTCCAGAATTGTTTCCTATCTAAACATATCGGTTTAGAATTTTTAAATATATAGAGCTGGGATAAATAAAATGAAAGTCTTCTAATTTCTGAGAAAGTATAGACCAAATATGAATCTAGCTCCAGCAAATGCTCCAACCCCTCTATAAAAGCACTTACACCCTCTTTGGCAAGACTCTCTGAATGACTAAAAACAATCTAATATAAGAACCACTTAAAAATTTTAGCATTATTAGTTATTCAGCTAATAATTAGTTATTCAGTTATTAAGTTAGTTACACATTTTCTTAAATCAGACTGAGTGAAAAGTAATGGGATTAAGAGAAATATTTGAGTAGAAATATAATTATTATATTAATTTAATTATTACAGGCTGTTTAAATAATTTCAGGGTGGCTTGACTAGTGTCAATCAATGACTAGCCTTGAGACAAACGCTGTCACCCACTTTAACTATAAATCATTTATTTTTTGCTTAGGATTTGCTTTTGTATATCTGGAAAGTCAGAGTCATATTTTGTCCATTTTCCCCTGATGAATTATAGCTCTATTTCATGGTAGCCTGATGGTTTCCGCCAGTTAATGGAGCAGGTGACTTTAACACGACAGTTACCATGAAAGCAAACCTGTACTCCAGTAACCTCTAGCTTATAGTAAGAAAGCAATTTGGTGTTGTGAACATGAGACGCTATACCATACCACATTTTACTTCTATTCCTTTGAAAACTTTCTAATATGTTGCCTTTCCCTTCCGTAGCTGTCTTGATTGACAGCACTCCTGGGAAGTCTTGTTGGGTGTAAGAAGTTGTTGGGTATGTACAGAATAGATGAAAGGATAAGGAAAACTATGATCAGAGCCAGAGCGCCATACCTTTAAAGAGAGACAGTTCTAGGGGGTGCTGAGGGGTGGGGCGTGAGGAAGAGATACAAAGGCAATATAGAGTATGTTGCTTCCTAGCTGGGGTGACGGGGTGACGGCGGGGAGGGGAGACTGACTACTGCTTACTTGATGTGAAGGTTAATGGAAAGGATATGAGACTTCAAGTCACAAATCTGGGTTTGAATCGCAGCTTTGCTGTTTATCAGTTGCTAATTAATTTCTACGAAGCTTGATCGCATCAATTATATGATTCCATATAATAAAATACCACTCCTGGAGCTGAACGAACATTGACTATGAAGCCCCTGGTTAGTGACCCCCAGAAATGGCGAACCTGGGACTCCTGCCTCCTTATTTTGAGAAGTATGCTTAAGAGATAGGTTGGTGGGCACAATACACTTGCAGTAAATTTCTCCACCTCCTCTAAGAGTATTTAACAGGGTCATTAGAAATTTTCTCAAGGATTAAAAGTGCAAATGATTTTAGAATTACGTATTTTCTTGGAAAGTGGTTGTGATTTTATTTTGCATAATTCAAGTTTTTAAATGCTTCTGAGTTTGTGTTGCTGTAGCATAGATGTCACACGTACAGTTAAGGATTTGTATTCAGTTTTGCTAAGAATCCTCAAGTTTAGTGGTTTAGTATTCTTTATGTAATTTTGAAAATGAAAATGAATCACTGTTACTAATTTAGGTATTAAGAAAAGAATGTTAACTGTCTGTTCTTAGTGGGAAAGGGGTCACACTTAGGTTTGCTTCTTCTCCTAGCCCACACTTGATTTTAAAACAGAAAGCCGATTTTCTAAGTTTTAGTAACTAAAACACACTTCCTAAGGACATATATAATTTTTCATATTCTTCCTAGAACTAAAACTGATTTCAATGTCTTTACATCATGAAGTAGCTTCCTGGTGAAACTTTGAAATGTACTATATTTGATATTATTAAAAGAGACATATTTAAATCATACCTCAAATTCCTCAGTGAACCCATTACTTGCATGTAAGTCTGCAACATGTTTTGGAAAGTGTTTTATTGGAATAGCTCCAATATCATCTAAGTGAATAAAAAAAAACAAACATATTAGAAAGGATAATAGCAGAACTTACTGTTTCTTCTGTTTATAGGGAGTCATCTAAAACAACTTCACAATTCAACCACAAGAATCCTAACTAAAATGCAAGGTGCAATGACCAACTTTAGATATATTTGTTATAGAATTGAATTTGATTATACGTTTCTTTTCCTTATATACTCTAACTAGAAACTAATTTCTTTTCAATGTTAATTCACAAATAACATTAAAACCATACTTCTTATCAACACATTCATCTTGTTTTGGAAAATTTCGTTTAATATGAGTAAAGATGGCATATAAATTCTGGCAAAAAGATTTGTAGAAGTAATATATTATTTTGCTTATTTTTTTATATTTATGGTCTCAATAAAAATATAAAAATGTATTAAAAATAAAAAGTTGGCCTTAAGTTGGTTATATTTTATCTGAATTTGCCATTGTTCTGTCTGTGTACCTGGGGTTGAAGTATTGTAGCTCAACCCTCAGCTATATTTTAAATCTATTATGGTACAATTACAGTTGTATAACGTTACATAGTTCAATACTTTATAATCAACAATTACATGTTTATACTTGAAAATATTTCTTCCTTCCCTCTAGATGTAACAAAAAGCTTCTAAATGAGGAGTGTTCGTTAATAATAATGTGACTGATAATTAAAAAAAATATTTGGAAATTTAATCTGTAAAGTTTCAGGAATTTTAACTCGAAAATATGCCAGGTAAACAAAGTCATGGATTTGTGAACCTATTTGTGAAGGAGCCAAATTATTTTAACTAGCCCAGTATTTTCTTTTTCTTTTCTGGGAAAGATTTTCTGAGATTAAACATAGTAGTTCACAGTATACATTTTTTTTTCTCTAACAAGGGAACATCAAACATATTTCACTAGAAATAGTTATTTACATTAACAGATGTTCAATATTTAGGCCTTCTAAAAATTTTAAGCTTCAGTTACTAGGAATTCTTGATTAAAAAAAATGAGAATCCATCTGTTCTTCCCCTTAGATGAGTGGACCTGAATACTAACATTGAATTAGCCAGTGAAGCTTGAGAAGCACCTAGGTGTCATTTCTCCTTCACACCTAGAGAAAGATTTTGCAAGAAGCATGTATAATTAGATAAGAAAACAAATGATTTGTCACACCTAAATCATTAGTTCCTATAAATTTTCTTCAGACCCAAATGCCCAGGTCCTCCATGCCCAGCCAGTCCAGCAGTCCAGGAACACCCAAGTATTTTGGTCTGCAAATGAGACTAGGATATTTTCTTTTTCTGATTTCACGTGAAGAGTAAATGCCCCCGTGATCAAGGGTGATCAAGAGTGAATGTTTTGGACCTAAATGAGAGGAGTTGCCTCTGGCTACAGCTCTTCTGACATTCACAGGGCACGGCTTGGGTATTCTTTGACAAGTGCTAGATTTTGACTTACTGTGTCTTATTGATGATAACCTACTGGACCTCTGGTTAACACCAGAGATAACCTGAATGCCCATGATAATGGAGTATGCAGAAGAGATGTTTGGAAGTGAAGGAAATCATAATTCCATAGACAACTGAGAGCTTTCAGTATCAAAATGCTGAAAGTGTTAAAGAATTAGTGCTGCACTGAGGTAAATTTGGTCTTAAGATCAGCTAGAAGAACAGAGGGCAATTCCTATATATAGAAAGAACAAATTATAATAATGCATATTCTAGATAACTCAGAGATCCACCTGGCTCTGGCTCCTGAGTGCTAGGAATAAAGACATGTACCACTGCTATCTGGCTTGGAAGTGTAAGATGAAATAAACCCTTTCCTTTTTGCCATGGTGTTTCATTACTACAAGAGAAACCCCAACTGAAAAAGAAATTGGTACCAGTTTCATGAGATTGCTGTGATAGATGTGACAATGTTTTGTGGAGGCTTTGGACTAGAAAAGCTATTGAGTGTTCAGAGCTTAATGAAGTATCATGGAAACTTGGATGGTCATGCTTAGCGCATTGTCTACAATAGAGGTCTTGCCTACAAAGGTTCAGAGGGAAATTTGAGAGTCCCTTAAAGAATGTTTAATTCTAAGTATAATACGTCTAAATAAAAAATGTGCAGCCATCTAAAAAAAATTCAAAACCCTGACAATAAAGCCTGTCAGGTTCTTCTTCTTTTTAAAATTAAAGTCTTATGAACTAAAGAAACATAATTATGAAAATAGTACTAGAGAGAATTAGTAGTTTAGTATTCTACTTATATGCATCCTTGGTAGATCCTGAAGGTTTGGAATGAATTTGACAAAACAATGCAAAAGTTAATTCAGGTTTCCCAGAAGTAACAGAAGCCTGCAAGAGTCCAGAGTATCAGCAAGGAAGTCAAAATTGTCTCCAAAACAACACTTCCTGAAGACATAGGACCTCAGCTTTTTTCCTACATTGAAGCAGTTATGTTAATGAGCTTCCCATATCCCATATACATTTAAAAAGAGAATCTGAATAGGGGGAGTTTCTAGGCCCCTGTATCCTACGAGGTTTAATTTTTAAAAATGTTTTATCCAGCTTTTCAAAAGTAAACACATACATGGAATTTATTTCTCTGGATTATAAAAGCAGACACTGCAGGCTTCTTGGTGCAGAAAGTGCAACTCAGGATGAGTTGTGGTGGCTGAGGTCTAGAGATGATCAGGTGCTGAGAGAGTGACATAGAAAGAAGGTCTCAGAACCAGCAGGCTGCCTGAAACCTCACTAGGGCTCAGGTCTTGGCACCCGAATTTTCTTTTCTTTAATACTGCTCACCTGCTTGACCTTGATGCACCTAAGTAACCCTAAGACAATAGAAATTTGTTTCTAAAAGCTTCATTATTCTCATGCTTGACGGCATAGAGCTCTCTTGAACATTGGGAATATGGAAATGATCCATGTTAGATGGCTATCAACATGCTGATGAAGCCAATGAAAAGGTTTTCATTTTGTTTGTTTGTTTATTTATTTATTTAGATGGCCAGACCAAGAGTGGGCTCATACCTCTGAAAAGTTTCTTGGTGATCAAGATCAAATGTATGGAAAATTTTAAAAGCAAAAGTCACAAAGACCATGATTTACATCAAGGTTCGATGAGGCCAGAGTAACCTTGAGATGTTCTTTCCTGACAGCTTATAGTAATCATTTTAGATATAGCATGCCAATCATGTTTTACTTATACCTTTTCTAGTTGTTTTAGTTTACTTTAATTATTTTGGTTAATACAGCTGAAACATAATTGAGTCCGTGGAAATCTCAAATGTATTGCCGAGGCTGACATGACCATTGTGGAGAGAATGGTAGGAGGGAGAGAACTGTTTAAGCAACACAAAATGGAGTAAGGACAGGATAGCATTGCCTTAGTCATTGCAATATGAACTAAGTTGAATTATACATGTGTAAAAGCCATGCTAAATTTTGAAGACTTAATGTAAAAATATCTCTAATACTTTTGTATTAATTATAAGTTGACATGCTAACACTTTGGATATACTTGTTCAAATAAAAATATATTATTTAAAAAAAAGAATCTGTGGTTCTGGTCATCTCAGTCTGAAACACTGGCTATGATTAGGGAGAGATTGGTATCACTAAGGCAAAAATCTTCTGGGAAGTTTTCTTGGGTCAGCAGGCAGATGTTGTAGTTCAAAATGGCCTAGACTGTATCTCTACTGGCATTCCAACTTGGTCATATGTAAGAGTTTTCCTAGGTGCTACTGGTTTTGAAGAAATGAAGGAACCGTGAAGAGAATTTGAGGCTTGGCACTGTGAGGGGTCAGGGGAAGGTGTAGCCTCAGTTACACTGAAATTTTCAGGACTGAAACAGTCATGAAGAGAAACTGGGGCTTGGAACCACATGGCAGGGTCAGAGTTCCTGAAGAGAGCCCAGGGGAGGCTACCGGCCAAGGTGTAAAACAGCTGTAGCAGAGACCCCAGCACTTTGAAGACGCCGTTACTATGAGATGACCTCCAAGGACAGTGCTTGGTATGGAGCAGAGCCAGCCTGAGCTTTCAAGACAAGTTGCATGTGCTGTGAATGGCAGATCCAAAGAAGTGAAGCTGCCTAGATCCTTTGGAGCCCAGAACATGAGTCCCAGAAATCTGATATTGAGCATTGTACTGTTAGACTGGTTTTACCTTGATCTGATTCTGTGTCCTGACTATTTTCCTTTCTTAAATAAGAACGTAACTCTTACTTTTCACTTTCCCTGAGTCCACAGTTAAAAGACATTGGGATTTTAGAGCAATTTTGGATATTTTACAGATGCTTTGGAATTTTCAATTTCCAAGATTGGTGTGGAATAATCTGTATGCTTGTAAATATGTATTACTCTCATCAGTTACTAAAGAGCTGACGGGCCTATAGCTGGGCAGGAGAGCCAGACTAGGACGATGCTAGGAAGTAGGACAGAGTCTGAGGAGCCAGACACTGTGAGACACAGAGTGAGCAGGATGGGAAGTATATAATAAGGTAAATGAGCCTCAGGGAAGCACATAGATCAGTAGAAATGGGTTAATTTAACCTATAAGAGTGAGCTAAGGATAAGCCCAAGCTCTGTGTAGTTATTTGGGAATTGGCTGGCAGGATGAAAAACTTCCCTACAAAAGAGAGACTGAACTTTTAAAGTGTTTTTTGAGTTTTTAAAGATCGTAGAACTTTCAAAAGTTGAAATGTTTAACATTATCATTAATATATATTATGTATATTATATATATATTAATATGAACATAACATCTTAGAGACAACAAGAAAAGAAATGTTATGGTTTGATAGTTGCACATTTGTACGTCAAATCGAAAATTGGGCAGTTGACTTGGTTAGTTTTATAGTATTTTGATTCAAACTAGAGTAACTTGGGAATGGGCCTCTAGATTGAGAAAAATTCCTCTCTAAGATTGGTCAAGTCTGTGGGCCATTTTCTTGATTAATGACTGAAGTGGGCAGGTCCAGCCCACTGTGGGTAGGGCCAAACTTGTGTTAGTGGGTCTGAGTTGTATAAGAAAGCAGACTAAGTGAGACTTGAGGAGCAAGCCTGTAAGTGATGCTGTTTTGTGACCTCTGGTTCAGGACTTGCCTTCACATCCCTGCCTTGAGGTATCGCCCTGACTTCCCTCAGTGATAGCCTATGACCTGACTGAGCATTGTAAAATGAAATAAACCCTCTCCTTCCCAAGTTGCTTATGGTCATGGTATTTTGTCACAGCAATAGACACCCTAACTACTATAGGAACTAAATTTTGGCTTTATTTATGTTCTTTTTCTCCTTTCCACATTTATTAATTTGAGTTAATCTGACCATTTCTGCTTAGGTCTCCTCTACAGTAATGGAAATGAGGGAAAGCATCATTGTGCTGGATAGTTTTTTGTCTACTTGACACAGATGAGTCATCTGGGAGGAGAGAATGTCAACTGAGAAACTGCCTCCATCAAATTCTCCTTCGGGCATGTCTATGGGGCATTTTCTAAACTACCTACTTATCTGAGAGAACCCACCCCATTATGGGCAGTATAACCCCTAGGGAGATGGTCCTGGGTTATAAGAAAAAGCAAAATGAGCAAGCCATGGAAAGCAAGTCAGTAAGTGGCATTCTTCCATGTTCTTTGTTTGAATTCCTGCCTCCAGGTTACTGAGTTGGGTAATGTACTGACTTCCCTCTGCAATGAAGTATAAATTGCAAGCTAAAATACCACCTCAACTTGTTTTTTGTCATGTTTTTTAATCCCAACAATGGAAATCCAACTAGGATCATTATTTTCAACTAATATTAATGACTAATAATGCTTTCTACATATTATACCAGAAAAATTATAAATTATTTTGATATATAATCTATTTGAAATTAAAGAGTGGGAACTTGGCACATGATATAACATATATTTACTAACATTTAAACATTTGCAAACTATTCTAACAAAGGCAAACCTTCCCACATCATTCTTTCAGTATAATTCAGTTACTCATCATCACGCTCTACGTCATTACCTGAAATTGGAAAGATGGGTGTTGGTGGTGAAGATATTACTCGAGGGGATGTATTGTCTTCTAAATAAAAGTGTGCAGTCTGGAAGCATTTTCTGGAAAGAAAGAATGAACATATAAGAGAATGACATGTAAGCTTCTTAAAAGTTATTATGTAAGTTTCTAGATTACAACGAAATGGATACATGACCAGAAGAATAACTATTGGATCTACGTCTGTTTTCATAAAGCAGAAATACTAAAGAATTTCCATGTCATCTGAGTTAATCTCACTTTTACCCACACCAGATGCAAAAGAGTGAGCAGATACCAGACAAGGCGAAAGCAGAGGTAGCATTTGAAGGGGCAGTGGGTACCCAATGGTAGTGTGCAGATGCAGGAAACATCAATGTCTCTTAGGTACTCTCCCCTATATTGTCATATACCGAGGGGTCTTGCCAACTTGACAGGACATGGGCTGAAAGCAAAGTAAGTCCCTACAGAACATTCTTTAAACCCTGTCCTCTGGAGCATATTCAACTGGTAGAAAAGGCGATGTCTACATAGAAATGAGATTCCACAGTGGCATCATTTTTGGCCTCTACTGTACAATAATGCAGCAGTGATGAAACTTAAGTGAGGATAATGAGCACAGAAGCAAAACCAGAGGTGGTTTTATTTCTGACAGATGCTAGTCTTGCTGATGAGCATTTGGAGAATGAATATATTTAGAACCAATGACAATTGTGACCTGCAACGTCACCCGCATCTATATTCATTCTGATAATAAGAGGAACATCTGGTGAGAGCACACTACAAAGTACCGATCAGAGCAGAGATGCAACTGCTGCGCTCCAATAAAGCAAGCCTTCCCTTCGTTTGAGAAATTTAGGTAATTAAAACTGCTAACGACTCCTTTTTGATGAGCGTTGTTATTTAACGTATTCACTAATGGTTGATTTTCAACAGAAACATCTCTCTACAGAAAATGTTAATCTTACTTTCCATTTTAAAGCTTCGAGCTACATGTTATGTATCCTAATGAACTTTAACATGACATTTGTTCTTATTCAGTGACCTCCTAAATCTCAGGATTTTCCCAGTAAATCGGTTCTCTGGATACAGTTTGTGCATGGCCTCCCACGGCCTCAAGGTCAGTTAGGGCCCTAGCTTCCACCAATCTTTTGTCCCTGCACAGCCAACGACCCCTTCACCCAGCTTCAGATTTTCCTGCTCTCTTTTTCACTCTGAAACCCACTTGTACCACTTTAGCATCTCATGTGTGGCCCTTCCTCTGGCCACATGCCTTCTTCCCGCTGCTTTTGCATCATCCCAAACGCTACATCCTCTGAGGGCCCTGGATATCTCTGTCACTATTCTCCTCCCTTTGCTTAGTCTGGCCCATGTCACTCTGAAAAATGCAAACCCTCTTCTACTTCAGACGGGACTATATCTGGATGAACTCGAGCTGAAAACGCATTAAATACACACCCAACATACCACATGCCATAAGTTAGCAACATAGTATGAGGTAGGGTGTTGGTTATTTGCTTCCGTGATAATGTGACTGAAAATTTTTAGTTATTTCACTGCCCAGCAACTTCAGAGAATAGTGAACTTTATCTAGCAAGTCCAGCATGCTACCTCAAATTCAAAACTTGAAGTACAGTTTCTACTGAATGTGAACTCCTTTTGGTAGTATGGTAAAGATAAAAAAAAGTGGAACCATCTTAAGCTAGAAACCTTCCATTACTTATACATTCATTTATGTTTTACATTTATACTTAGTTTTCTCCACCAAAATATAATCCAATCATGCAAAATATTTAATTACTACAATGTTATTCATAAATGCCATCATTTTATACATACCCCAAGATACATTTTCAATGAATGTAATATAAAATTGTGTATTTATAACTTATTTTGTAACTTTACCATCAAGAGAAATATATAAATCTATATTTATATATATAATATGTTTATATTATATATATAGCAACAATGTTCATAGTAAGACATGGCACTTGGCTCTTAAGAGTTTAAGACCTTGAAATTCACACCTGAAAGAACAGTAGAGTATCTTCCAGAGACAGCAGTATAAGAAGACAAGTACCAAAGGGGCCTGACACCAATTTCATCTTGAAAAGCAGAGTCTGCAGTCAGATGAGGAATGGGACAGTTGGAGACAACCAGGCCATGATAAAGAAACTGTGCCGATGACAGTGCACACGCGTGACACTGGATTCCCACTGGAGCAGACACGATAGGTCAAGTGTGTTGCCTGTGCAGCCATGGGAACCATGTTCTGTCACTGACACGGAGGTGATGGACATAGAACATGCTTTCTGGGACTGCCTGCAATTCACAGTTGGTACACGAATCATTTAGCAGTAGCCCTGGTACTTAGTGAAGGTTCAGTTTGGGGTTTTCAGTAACAAAGAGCTCACATTTAGTTGCTAAACATTTCTTTCTTCTACTAACTTAAAGCCCATTCTCCCATAAGTTTTGCCAAATGGAACAGGGAGCAGGCCTACTTGCAGTGATGCTGTGCACACCTTTCTATTGGTATGGACTCCTTGCTAGATATATCTTCTGGACCTAGTTCATATTTTATATAGGTTTTAGATTATGCAGTCCACAATGTTTTAATACCCAAACATACTTATCTGTGGTCCTTTCTTTTTCTGACTTTGTATTTGACATTTATAGTTTAATAATCTGTTTACATAGCAGGCAATTGAGCCTGCCTTGTTCTTGCCAATTAGTGTTTCTCCTACCTACTTTGGGACCCAAATGTCTTACTCGTCAATAGACCAGGCAAGCATTGTCTTCCTTCAAGATAGCTCAAAGCATTTGCTCTGTGAAACAGCTTTCATCGCTGTTTCTAGACTCCAATCCCTCTCTATCTACTGCACCTGCCACAGATTTTCATTTTTTGAATCTATAAAAGACTGCTTTGGAAAAAATAGTTATTGAGTCCAAAAGTGGTCTTCAGTGTCTGGGCATCAAAATATGTTATTTTAATTACTTTAAGTAATTGTTTTTATGATAGTTCTTTTATAATTGTCTTTGTCTTTTTATTTACAGAAACCCAACTCTTAATATAGTTACAAGAGTCTAATAGTACTCAGCATCTGTTGAATTAGATGGATTTGTAGTAGTAAATAGACCCTAACAACTATATGCCATTCAGATGCACACTTGATTCTGTTGTCTTACTGAGCCTCAAGTATGATAACGTGATGTTTCAAAATGTTTGAAAGGGACAGATGGAATATACATGTATAAACAATTTGAACAAGGATAACCCTAAGAGAAACATACATAGATGTAATCTACATGGGAAGTAGAAAAAGACAAGATCTCCTGAGTAAATTAGGAGCATGGGGACCTTGGGAGAGGGTTGAAGGGGAGGGGAGAGGTAGGGAGGGGAGCAGAGAAAAAATGTAGAGCTAAATAAAAATAGTAATAAAAAACAATTTGAATGGATAAATAAATAGATGGATAGAAGATAAGCTGGAAACAATGAGAGAATGGGAAGAATATATAATATAATATGTATTATAATAAAATATATAATAGAATATATAATATAAAATATATAATAGAATATAAAAATGGAAGTGAAAACATTGACCTTGTAATTTGCCATGTTGCTAATGTGTGTTAGAGCAATTGGGTTAATATCAATTCTGCTCATTTCAAATACATAATGAAATTTTGAACACAGGTGGCCTAATGATGATACTTGGCACTAGTTTTCCCAAGACTCTTATAGGTCATATCAAAACTTTTGTGTGAGGAAGAATTGACATTGTTTAGTCAGTAGGTTTGTTTTCCAGGGTAGTCTACAGGGAGAGTGACATTCTACTTGAAGGTAGTGTGGTACTGGGAAGCGTACATTCAGCATTGTTTGTTCTTTCCCAGGATTCATAAATACGGATTTAAAGTCAAGAGAGAATTCATATTTCCTAGCTCCATTTTCTCGAAGGAGAACAACTGTATCTATGGAATTTTCTGTTCTACTCTACTTTTGGTGATGAGTCGTTCTGCCACACATAATGTTAGCATTTTTCATGGTCTAACTCTTTTTAAATGCTCTAAAAAATTTTGTAGTTTTTCTTTTTCAAAAAAAAAAAAAAGATGTTCACCTTCCTAGACATGGACAGAGGTGGGAGGACCTTGGACTTTCCACAGGGCAGGGAACCCTGACTGCTCTTTGGACTGAAGAGGGAGGGGGAGAGGAGTGGGGGGAGAGGGAGAAAGGTGGGAGGAAGGGGAGGGAAATGGGAGGCTGGGAGGAGGCGGAAACTTTTTTTTCTTTTCTCAATAAAAAATTAAAAAAAAAAGACTCTACAAATCTTCCCTGTGGAAGTAGTTTTGCATCTTAAAAACCTATGGTGTGGCTCATGTAAATTGTACCTTAAAACATCTGGAAAACAATTTCAAGGCATATTACTTAATGTATGACAAGCCTAAGTCTCTATAGCCCATCTGTTCCGAATAAGTAGCGAATGTCTTCACGTCTATGTGCTAAGCGTTGATAACTGTGTCTCCTGCTAATTATCACTCCACCATGCTGAAAAAAGTGATGACTGTTTTAAACTTGTAGAGATAGGTCCCATCAATCAATGGTAATCTGATTATTTAATTTACACCTTTCTTTCACAGTATTTGGAATTAAAAGCTGGAAATGTGTAATTATATCCCTCTTAGAGTCCTCATACAAATACGAAACAACATTCAGAAAGTTCATTCATTCACAGGACACCTAGAGAAAGCCTCACTGCACACTTAAAGATAGCGGACAATGAGGAATACTGAGAATTCAAGAACAATTGCAGTGGGTTTTTGATCCTACTGCACGTACTGGCTTTGTGGGAGCCTAGGCAGTTTGAATGCTCACCTTACGAGACCTGGATAGAGGTGGGCAGTCCTTGGGCTTCCCACAGGTCAGGGAACCCTGATTGCTCTTCGAGCAGATGAGGGGGGGGGACTTGATGGGGGAGGGGGAGGGAAATGGGAAGCGGTTGTGGGGACGAGGCAGAAATCCTTAATAAATAAATAAATTAAAAAAAATGGAGGACCAAAGAAACTGAAAAAAAAAAAAAGATGCTCTTACAGGTACTGTCCAATGGAAAACAGAAGAAACGCATTCATAGGTCAGAATGGCATAACCAAGGCCAGCCAATAAATTAAAGGTGAGCCTGAGGAAGGGATTCCATTTTTGCCATCTACCATTTGTTCTGTCTTTCTGCTAAACTGTTTTCTCTCGGTGTCTCTACAAAAGCACAGGGAAGCACTTGGGTAAGTTAGACAAAGAACAAGACTCATGATGCCATTCAGGTTAATTTTCTACTAAAAATTATATTAGAAAAACATTTAAATTTTGCCCCCCCCACACACATTTAGGTCTATCTACAATCCCTTCCATTTTTTCTTTCATTATTTCCTTATTTTGCGTGTGTAGGCGGGGGGCACATGTTTGTAGAGGGCAGAGGACAAATTATGGAAGTCAGTTCTTCCTTCCACCAACGTTAATTCCAGGGATTGAATTCAGTGATCCATCTTCTAGCCTCTATGATCTTCTTTGAGTTGTGTGTGTATGCATATGTATGTGTGTGTCTGTGTGTGTGTTATGAGGAAAAGATCCAACTTGTGGAATCTTATACCCTCATAACATTTGTTGAAATGATATTCTCTGTTCACAAGAAGAACTTGGAACTCTTGTCTAAAATTTGTTGATCACAAACATAAGAAATTATTTCTGGGCTCTCAGTTCTACTTCCTTGAACTGTGTGATTATTTTTAATGCCAGAACTAGTCTCTTGATTACTCCAGGTCTGAAACAAACTTGAAGTCAGGGAGTGTGAGCCATTCATCTTTGCAAAATTTTTAGAAGAAAATTTACAAGGTAAGTCCTTACGACTCCAGGTTAGGAGCTGCCTTTTTAGATGCAACAGCAACTCATAAGCAATGACAAAAAAAATTAATAAAGTGGACTTCATGAAAATACAAACAATAATATGTTAAAAGATATTACTCTGCAAATAAGTCTGTACACAAAATAGAAAAAATTGTAAATTGGATAATGGTGACTGACATTATGTGTAGTACATATAAAAATGCTTGCAATTCAGATATAAGAACCGTGGACTGTGGAGATAGTTCAGTTGATAAAGCCAATCCACACTGGCATGCAGACTGGAATTTATATATTTAAAATACATACAAAAGCCATGTAGGCATGGCAGACTGTATGTCATCCTAGAACACTGGAAGGCAGACTTGGAAATCCACAAAGCAAGTTGACCGGTTATACCAGCAGAAAGGGCAAGACCTGGCTTCAGCGAGATCTGGGTTCAATTCTGACTCTACATTTGATGGAGGGAGATTGAGGAAGACACCTAAGATGAATGAATATGCATATAAATAACATGCATAGATACTTGTATGTATACCCAGACACATACATGCACACAAACACATGCAAATATGCATGCACACATGCATGCATAACACACATGTACGCATGCACACACACACTCAGTAAAATAAAACAAAAAGCAAATAACCTAATTAAAAGTAGGCTGAAAAGGATTTGAGCACACAGTTCTCTAACGATAGGAAATTGCTGAGTAAGGACAAGGAAAATAACTAATCAGCACTATTAGTCACCAGGGAAAGTCTGCAGAGCACAGAATGCATTGCACTGCCCACGTCAAACAGATGGCTTTTATGATCCATTAGCTTTATCTCATGAAAGTGCCAGCTGGTTTTTTTTTTTTAAGTTTAAACATAAACTTTTGGAAAAACTCACAAGGACTGTGAGTACTACACATATTAGTTTTTTTTTTTTTTGCCTTAGATTTTCTTTTTATTCTAGAAAGCAAATTATTTCTTTAACTTGACATCAACTCCAGAAGGCTCTTCTTTTCCTGAAAAGAAAGGCCCTGAGATCCTGTAGAGAAGCAGGTGGGTGGATGTGGCCTGCACGGCGCCTGCCCATGCTCTCCTGTTTCACTGCACCGAGTTTTCTTCAGAATGTTCTTTATAGCGCCCTCCTCAACCTGAACTGCTTCCCCTGCCTTAGTGTTTTCTCCCTTCCCATGGGCCATGACTGTCACAAACACCTACAATGCACTTATCTTGGCTGATGAAGTATGTTATTAATAAATATGTTTACATTGGAGTTTGAATAATCCCCACAAACCTTGAACAAGAGACTATTGTGATTAGGCACAATTCCCCACAACCCTAGTTTTTTAAAATCAATCTAGAAGTTATTTTTTTCTAGTGAGTTAATTTCATACAGGCATGTGTAAGACAGATATCTAACATTGTTTAACACATTTTGAAGGGGGTTAGCAAAGAGTGGCATTTTTTGTCAGTATATTTACTAGACAAAATGCATGCATTTTGATCTTTTAACTGCATCCTCTATTCAAGGTACATGAAATACTGTTTGTGAGGAAAAGAGAAACGTCTTACTACTGAGGATCAACTGGTCTTAATAATTTAATCTGATTTTCCTGACGATATATATGGGATAATCCATACTAACAAAAGTTAAGACACTTGGATTTTAGTTTTTCATGAAGTATCTGACCATATTAAACACAATGAATTTTAAATTTGCACAACATAGCTTAGAACAAATAATAGAAATTATGAAACTTATTCTAGCTATTTCATTTAAGCATAAATCGCCTGCCATTTTATTAAAGCTTAATATTAGCATTATTTAATAAGAAATCCATCTTGTCATGTCTTCCATGTTTTGTTAAATTTATTTAAAACAAATTCTCATTCATTTAAATGTTTCATTTTGTAGGGAAAATCAGATTAGACAAAAATAAAAAGTGAAGAAACTGAATAGAAAAACGTGTCCAAAACTTTGAACAAGTCAGGAAAATCCAACCAACGCTGGCTGAAGAACATGTACGTGAGCATGTGATACTCAGAGGCTGGTGACCACGGCATCCTCTATGCTACAGAATCTATAGAAGGTGACAGTCGCCACATGGGCACGGACAGAAGAAAGCTGCTTCTGCATCTTGCTAGTGAGTAAATGGGATCCTAATAATGTGAGCCGTCCTTTCTTGGCTCGTAGACAGGAATTCTCCTATCATCAGTATCATCAAGTTCTTCTTTTCCAAGAAATGGTTTTACTGGCGTGTTGTGTCTTTAATAAATTCATGAATTAGCTGTCTGCTCTGCTTGGTACAAGAGAGGAGCTTATTAACAGGTAACTACCCTGGTCCTGGAAAAGTTTTGAAGGATCAGTGAAGAGTATGAGGGCATATTTCAAATTCAAAGCCAATTATAAAAAGTTTTAAATGCCTTTCCTTTTTTTATAGTACAGAAAATAATGTTTAATATATGATAGATCACATGCTTAAAATGGGCATATTAAATTCCTGTGAGTTTAATGAACATTTGAATTAATAAATAATTCATTTTGGACAGTAAGATACAGGGAAAATGGTAACAAAAACAGTTGGGTGCTGATCTTCACAAAAGTGTCTTTAAATGACTAGGTGGTTATTAATGGTATATATACAATGAAAGAAAGGATCAAATATATTTTAATATTTCTTTTTGGCTTTGTTAATTCTTCACAAACTTAGTCTGAATGATAAAGAGGAAACTTCTCAACCAATATGACACTAATGAATTCTTGAGATCCGGAACTTAATTAGTATCTTAAGTTAGACAACATTAAAACATGGCTACTCTCTGTATCCAAGTGCAAACTCCTAATATTTGGTGAATTTGTAAAAAAAAAAGAAATGAAAACCCAGTTAACAGAATGTTCTCTTTTAAAGCAAGCAAAACAATCATAGTCAAAGGATAACATGTACTAGAAAGAAATTGTCTTCAATATCATCTTTGACATATTAAACCGAAGTGGCAAAGGTCCTTCCACTATTCTTTATAGCCATTTATCATATTTTTATATTTTTGTTGCTCAGTTTTGCTTTTGTGTATAGGCTATCATCTTCCATTACCATACGCAGTGATATACATCATATAAAAACCCACAAAATATTTATTCATATAAAATTGTTTTCCTAAGTAATAACTCTTGTATTTATAACAGTTGATAAAAAGCTGATTATCAGTGGTAAATGCTATGATGATGTCAGAATGTTAACTTGGTTAATATAAAAGTACAGCTGTCGAGACACCTTAATAGAGATCAACTAAGGTCATGGTTCTACCATTTGCCTTCAATTCTTTAAGCACAGAAAACGTCAACCTTTAGATTCATAAGTTTACCTTCTTCACAGGTGAATACATTAATAACAGCTTTAATGTAAAGGGAATTCTGAATAGATTTGGGGGTCTTTCAGATTAAATATAGGCAGAAATCTGAACTCTAATAACGTAAATTTCCAAAACACTCAACTTACCTCCAGTAGATGAGAATACCAACAAGAACCACTAGACAGATAAAAGTCAGTGCTGACACGATCACAAGGGGGATAACGGCCTTCTTCTCAGATTCCAACCCCTCAGCTAGACCAATACGAGACTCATGGCTACTATTACTGGCCTCTGTAGTCGGAGAAAATTGAGACAGTTGAGATTTAAGATGGAAAAGTAATGGTATTTTCCAGCTGGTTAAGTGCAGCCTGAATTGTTTCTACTTACCTTTACAACTCTGACTCTATGATGCAAAGGTTGTTTAGACATCAGTTTAGGTAAAATTAAGCTTAAACATTAAGGTAAGATATTAGAGCTATTAAAAAATAAATAAATCATCAGAGTTAGGGGAGTTATAGCAGGACCTGGAACCAACACTGGTTGGAAAAAAATTGCTCAACGTAGAACTGAAATATGAATATAAGAAAATTACTGTTAAAGGTTAGGGAATCACAGTGTTACTAAATCAATGTATGTGACCTTGATGTTCTAGAACTAATTTTATGTATGTATTAACCTTGTATTTTGGTAAACAATTAAGAAAAATAGATAATTACTTTTCAACCAAGCAAACATTCTATTTTAAACATAGGTTGATTTTGTGTTATTTTCAAAATTCCTTTAAATATGTTTCATTATTTGAGAATTTCATACATCCATATCATGGGTTTTGATCAGGTTTGTTTTCAAATTTTTTGTCTGCTGTTTTTCTATCAAAAACCATAAATTCTCTATTTAATGTGAACTTAAAAAACATGTATTTAAGAAATTGTTTTCAAATACACTTGTGGACTGAAAACATCTGAAGACAGAACATGAGTTAATATAAAAATTGGTGACCACTGCTTTCATGTCCAATCAGGTACTCTATGGTACAAAATCTTTGAAAAAAAAATCACTGTAACTAAGTTCTAAGTTACTTTATATGGGTTGCCAAAATAAATAAATAAATAATAAAAGAACTCGAGAACTGAACTGTGGATGTTGGTAAAGAGCTTCGATTCTCTGGTTTGAAGGGTATTCAGTGGAAAGCCAAGACAATTATTCATGAGCGCTGTTCCAACTCTACCTGACCCCGGTTGCTGTCATGAACAGGTGCTGAGAACACTAACTTGAAGGTCCCATCAAAGTCTTCATACTTCCAGCATTTGATACAATTCGTGGTGCACACCAAATGTTTCACTGGCCACAAATATGAAGAGTTAATTTTAAATATGTGATACCCTTTAAACTTTGGGAAGATCAAAGCTCCTTTGAATGCACATATGACACCAGTACGTATCTAACTGTGGAGAACTGGTTTAGCACAACAGCTTCCTGCGTAACTAGCATTGAGAACGTAGGCTTAAGAACTTGGATCCATTCCTATGGAAAATGTACCAAAGAAAACAAATGATACCCATATTTTCCAGGATCTGATAACCATTTAGATTAACTATCTTTGTTGGAAAAAAAAGTGAAATTCAAAGACGTACCTAAAAATTAAATATAAATAAATGATAAAATATCATAGACCAGCCTATTTGTATTGTGGTTAATATTCCTGTAAGAAAGCTAAAGTTTTGAATATTTAAATTAGGTCATCCATATGCGCTGGCTATTATGTTCTCTGTGGAGATTCATGTAGACTCATAAGTAATCTGATGATCAATATACTGAAATGTCCTTATAACTTTTAAAATGGCATTTTGCTTCTTCCATGGCTATCTTTACATGTTTTTTTATTATAAATATTAGCTGAATAGAAAGAGATTGTGGGGAATAAATGAAATGACCTGTTTGTAACCTTTGGTATCCAGTGATTCCAAAGGGTGGTTATATTCTCATTCATACCATCATCTGTAAATTGTAACCCCTAGAATAAAAACAACAACATCACCTGCAATGTTTTAAGAATGTAAAGTTGGGGTCCCCCTGAAACCCTACTAGATTGTTTGGATAGAGTGCATGTTCAAGTTTAAGAACAAAAAGTGCAAGTTAATGAAGCCTACATAAATTCTATGACCACACAGATTCACTGTAATATATACTACAAACACAACATATACATACATATACATATATGTGTGTGAACATATATGTGTATATAGCCAATTATATAGCTTAAGCATATATACATACACACATGAAATATGTCAGGTCTTATGTGTGATGTATATGAGAAATATGTATCTTGAAAATACGTAATACAAATGCAATTACATTTATATGTTTGCATTATAAACACACACTATCTACTATCTATCTATCTATCTATCTATCTATCTATCTATCTATCTATCTATGTTCTCCATAAACATCCGTGTTAAGTTCTTGGGGAGATCTGATCTTTAAGTCTGTAATTGAGAATTAGAATAATTTTATATTTATATATTATTGAAACCTAAGCATTTTGTACAGGATGGCATACCTTATGAAAATACAGACAGTCGGCTAGCAGCTTTGTGTGTTACTGAGAGTAACAATTAGTTGTCTTATTTTCATTTATTTGAGACTAAAATATGTGTTTTGATAGAACTTATTAGATAGGTTACTTAACAGTAATTCAGTTGAACAATAAACAATAAGATTGACATTTTAAAGGGCTGAGAATAAAACAATATAACTTTGGTGTGAAAATTTAAGCATAATATATATTTTATTGTTCTCTTTCATATAAGCATTTTCTAAGAGAGACACTAATAATACATTTTCAGGGTTAGTTTTGTAGTGACTCTTTACGTGACCTAGATCAAGTATCTTTTAGTCCATGTTTGCATACAACACACACATACACACACCCTATTTATATTAAGAAATATTATGTAAATTTTTCTACATCTTAAGTACCATAAATGCTAAGTTTCAGACTAGGGAATATTCAATAATTGGATATGACAAACTCTCCATTAGTTTTACAGATACAGTTTTAAAAATGCCAGTTTCCCCCAGTCTTATTTGATCTTAACTCCTCATTAATAATATTTCATGATGATGGATGTTATATTCATATTGCTTTGTCTTTGTTATTTGGGGAGCTTATTCTTAACAGCTAAATAAATCTTATTAGTGTGTCCAAGAGAAATGGTTTCCTTCACTAATTCTAGATGTAGTGCTTTATTATATATGTGTTTAAGTGGCCTTTTCATAAAAGTATAATCTTGCAAGGAAGAAAAATAGATTGACTCAGGATCTTTCCCTTTAAAATAAATCTAGAGATGTAAAAAGAAAAACAAGCTCTATAATTGAGGATGATAAGAATTTGCTTATAGCTAACAATACTACTGACTACAACAACCCATGGACTCATCACTCCCTCTCACACGTCAGTTCATACACTGAGGCTGAAAGCCATGTTAAACGGACATCGAGTCAGAATACAGGAAAAAGGAACTTCCCTATGTAAATATATAAATTCTTATTTGCTTCCATACTAAAGAATAAACAACTCATTTGAATGATGAAAATAACTAAAAGAAAACATATTTTAATGACATTGGGTTCTATACTCTGAATTTTGAACATTAAATTCTGTGCAATTACTACCCAATATTACATTAGATTATCTTTTGACCTGCTAAGGTTTAAATGCTTTTACTGAAAATTAAAAAAAAATACCTTATCAATTAATCAAAGCAAATTATATTTTTTATCATGAAGTCGGTGTAATTACCTAGTTATTCATATGCGTAATGAAATTAAACTTGAGTTTTGTTACCATTGACATTTAAAGCACACATCTGTATGGTATATTGCAATCTGCTCCAAGAAACATCTGGCTAACAAACCAATTTGCATAAAATATATTAACAATGAAATGCATCTCTACAGAAAATGCTCCAGGTTTTTTTTTTACATCTTGTCACACAATATCTATATGTACTATGCATATTCATGTCTATTATTTAAGTAGGAATGACAAATATTTTAACAAACACAAAATAGAATGTATTTCACTGGTTTATACTGCCCTCTTTAGGCAACAGAAAGAAACTCAAAGAAAGATACTTTTATAACAATATGTCTATAAAGATCTTGCTTAACTATTAAACCTTGTGATTCTTTTTAGAAGCTCTCCCAGCTACGGAGGACATGTGAAGTATCTCCTTGCTTTCCATTGGTGCACAGGTGCTTATAGCATATTACTGAGATTCTTAAATCCAAAAGGATTAGTTTACAAGTTATTTTAAGATACAAATGTGAACATGTAAATTGTTTAAACACAGCACACTGCATTGTAATGTACCAATGGTGTATTATGAACACATAATTGATTCTACACACAATTGAAACCTGTAGGATAAGAATTAGTAACAAAACATAAAAATTGTATTGTTTAAGATAATTAAATCAAGGGCCAAAATATGTTGAATATTCATATAAGTATAATGATGTCCTTAGGAGCTTTAAATTGATTTGTCGAGTGTTTTGATTAAAAGTGAAGATCTGATGGTAATCTTTTCTTCCATGATTCTTCTATTTTACTTTCATAGCAAGAAAATTAGCACATCTCGACCTATCTCTCTGCTCATAACTAACCTGCCTCTGAACTGTTGGATACTTCTGAGTGCCCACTATTAACAGATGGTGTGGAGGACCGTGGAGATCCAGGAGCTATGCCTGTGTCGTCTGTTTCCAGGACACCATCAGCATCCTTTTCGTTAACATCTGGAAAACTGAAATCTGCGGGAGTCTCGTTATCACTGAGGCTATCTGAGGTGCCTTGCCCTGACCCACTCTCTTCATCGCTTGTCAAAACTCTCCAGGCTTTAGATTCTGGGGTGAGAGGAGGGACAGCACTGCCCATCGGAATGTTACTGTCCTCTTTCCCCTCCTTGTTCTTCTGGGGGAGCATACTTGTTGGTGGTGATTTATCAGGACTTTTGTCCACACTAGTTACCCCTGCACCTCCATTTTCTTCTTCAGGAGTCTCAAATAGCAAATGGGAAATTGGGTCACTCTGACCCACAGGACTATTTTCCTGGATGTCTGTGTCGTTCATTACCCTTTCTTGTGATTCTCTATAGGGTGAGCATGACATACACTTATTTATGGGAAAGCGATCACTATCTATGCCATCATAATCATCATAGTCATTGCCGTCTTCACCTCCCACTAAATCAGCATCAGAGCTGGCACTATGAGTCAGTTTAGAAGTGGATTTAGAAGGAAGATGCAACTTGGCTGTGGTCACAGCGACATCTCTGCTGGGGGAAACAGCTGAAATGGAAATGGACCCACTTCCTAATGGAACAGAATGGTCAGTAGCCACAAGGACATCAGAAACAAGCGTTGGTAGGCCAGCAAGTACCTTATCAGTACTAGAAGTTTCAGTAAGCATGGAAACTTCCTCAGAATACACAAGCCTGTTTAGAAGTGTATTTTGTGGCCCATCAATCGAAATAACAGGAGTAGCAAATGCACGCCCCTCCTGCGGAGGAAAGGCCTGGCTACTGTCCGGATGTGCAGTATGGAACAGCTCATCGTTACTGTACAAAGACGACAGCACTTGCTGGGGACTTGTGCTCTTACGCAAACCTTGTTCAGAGTATTTCTCACGTGTGTAGGGAACTGTTAAACCTCGAAGTGAAGTGGAGTGCGTATTAGAAGGTGACAAGTCAAGGACGGGTGCAGAGGCAAAGTGCAGCGTGCTTCCGCTCCAAGCAGACTCTGATGCCATGGGATGCCCCATGGAAGAGCTGCTTTGTTCAACCTTGGCGGTTTCAGCCAACGCTGGAGCACTAGGCACAGATGGAAGAGCAGTTTTAAGCAAGGTGTCAACATCAGAAGCCTGAAAGGAAGGTTGCAGCAACGCTTCAGTATTAAAAGGAGACGCGGCCTCAGAGAGCGAGGGCTGTGTTGAAGGATGTAATACTTCACTGGGAGCAGGGTCAGAGAAGGCTGGCTCTGTGTTTGCGCTAAGCGTGGGTTTAAGCCAAGTATCACCAAGTGCTTGAGATGTAGTGTGTGCAGGGTGAACTGGGAAGTGATTTTCTGGAACGTGACTAATCTCCTGATCAAAAACCTTAGTGAGGGGATAAGCAAGAGACTCTGGCAACATGCCATTTATACTAGAAGTAGGAACGGAGGTTTCTTGGAAAGCTGTATCCCACTTATCTACAACAGCAGACATCTTTGGCATGCTTGTGCTTTCAGAATGGTACCCCATCTCACTGACAGAAGACACTTTCAGTTCAGTCTCATTCCCATACATCACTTCACTTCTAGACAGCGGCTTAACATTATCACCAAACACAGATGTTGTGTATGTAAATTCAGCTACAGAAACAGGTGAAGAAATGTTAAGAGTTCTCAGCCCATCTGTGTCAGGTAAAAGCAATTCACTATCGGAGGATGCTCCAGACCACTCCTCATCACCAGAGAGGGCAGTAGGAGACTGCAGTAGTGATGCAGTTGGAGTAACAAGTGAGGACCCAGGCATTAGGGTATGGCTAGGACTGATACGTAAGGGCCCCTGATCGGCTACACCGACAGACTCATACGCGGGTATTGCAGAACTGGAAGAAACAGTGAGCACGTGGCGGGAGCCCTCAAAGGCATGGGAAGCTTCAGGCCCTGAAGAATAAGCATGCATAAAGACATCGCTGCTGGTTGACTCGATTTGAGAAACCATAGATGCTTTATAAAGGACAGCGGATGCACTACCAAATTCCAGCGTCTCTGAAGCAGCAGCGTGAGCGGTGGCCTGATGCGACACCACAGCAGAGTACTGACCAAGGCTGGGCTCTAGCAACACATCACCCCCAGCCACCAGCAGAGAAGCATGCAAAGACAGCGTGTCCCTCTCAGCAGCTGAAGGAACTTGTGGAAGGGTGTGAGAAACCGTATGCAGGTGGCGAAACAGTTCACTACTGAAGGAAGCAGAGGAAAATGGGGGCAAAGATGCACCGCCATAGGAAGACAGGGTGGATTCAAACGATACACCAACACTGGGAAATACAGGCGTAGCATGCAAGGCCGAATCACTACTCGAAGCAGCGGGGGTAGTGCTGAGGGTCTGATTGTCAAGCAACAAAGGGGTGACTAGAGGAAAGACTTCACTACTGTAGGAAGGTTGAAGAGGTGTCTCACCATTGTATACGGGTTGAGTTGTCTGTGAGTGGAGTACGTTGAGAGTGGGAGCCAAATCAAGTGGTCTGGAGGACGGCGTGAAAGCATGCGGTGTGACTTCGGTTGGGAGGTAGGCAAAGGTAGAATAATGTGGCATTTCCGTATCTGTGACTGAAGGGCCCTGTGACACCGTGGCACCCGGAGAAAACGACTCAGTTGTCTCCCCAGATTCATCAACACGTAGGTCTGTGGAGTTAACCTGGAGGAAGCTCCCTCTGCCAGATCCAGTCTCAGGCTGAGTGGTTAGATCTGCGGAACCAGGAAACCACACACTCTCGTCAGGAGAGGGACCCTTCAGTGACTCTTCTGAGCCTGACGCAGCTGAATCCTCTGGAGCACTTCTTGTAGATCCTGGCTTTAGAACGTTGTAGATGATTGCATCAGGCATTTCTGAAGAAGATATATATCCATGGGATATGGAGCCTGAAGAATCGTCTCCCCTATCAAGCCTGAAATCGGTCAATAAGTTTTCTTCCTCGCCAATGTCAGTGGACAACTCTTGGTACTCTGTTATGGAAACCATGTTTAGAGATTCTGCAGTCCCAGACAAGTTCATCTGCGGGAAGACAAAGAGAGTTTTAGATCCATCATTTAAGGAGGCTGAAGTACTTTCCACACCTTGCTGTGGCAGCTTAGTTCCAGTCTGAGAAGGCAAGGACATTTCTTCTTCTGTATCTGATTCAGCAACTTGTTGGGAAGTTGAATTCAGAGATGTGTGGAGAACATCACTCTTTGCAGAGAATTCACTTCCTCTTGTTGGAGATCTGTTAGTCTTCGCTTCGTTATATTTAGTCCCTATGTGATTGTAGTGAGTTGTGGTAGTAACCTGGGGTTCTTTTTTCCTTATTTGATTTGTGGCACTGTCTCTACTGGGATTCAAGCCAGTGTTTTCTTCATTATCTTTTCCATATTCTTCCTCCTGTGAAAGGAGAACAAATTTTAAAGGAGCATTAAGACATTAGAGAAGAAAGTTAAATATCCTACACAACATTACACTATGATTCTACACTTGTGGGACCTTGGTGACTTCTGATCCTCACAGGACACCATTCTCCTATTCTATTCTATTCTATTCTATTCTATTCTATTCTATTCTATTCTTCTATTTATCTTTTGGATTTATTTAACACACATTTATTGTATTCCTTTTATTTTATATTCACTAGGGAAAGCAATTAAACTAAATGAAGCCACTTTAGTTATGACTGCCTTCATTTTAATGCTGCATAATAAGGGAACAAAATAATACTGCAAAAAATATTTGCTTTATAATCTGACCCAGTTTTGCTGAGCACCAGTGTTCAGCTTAGTGGGATCGAAGTTCTACCCCTCCACCTCAATATTAAAAGTCCAAGAATCTGCCTAGCTCTCTGATGTCAGTACAGACTACGCCCAATACTAAGCACTGATCAAGCCTTCCACTTCCTGTTCTTTTTCTCATTCTTAGCAGATGATACTCTTGTTCATTTTCCAAGGAAAACAAGGAGACAAAAATCATATATGTTCCCAACACTGAAAACACCGCTCAGTGCAGTCACCCCTACCTGTACTGTTCTATTGTCTCTACGTAATTGCTAGGCTTTCCGCCAAGGGCTCATTCCTACATCTGTGTAGGAGCGGACTTTCTATTGTCTCTTTACAAACTAAACACAGTTGAGTTTTCCTCATTTTCTCAAATCCTCAGATTTTTCTAACCAGTTTAAGTGAATTTAGGTTTCTTCTGTTGAAAAAGAACATAAAAGAAAATCTCAAATTTAACCTCAATTATCATTTTACTTTTCTTTCCCCTTCTGAACCGAATCTCCCAAAAGATAAATCATGTATTGCTATACATGGCCTAATAATTTCTATGGGCCCCACACTAATATTCATCTTTGCTTATGTTCTCCACTAATCTACTTTATCATACCCTACCATAAACCATGAGGATTTCCAAAGCAATTTAATGGAGCCTGGTGGGACTCACCTATTTTTTTCCCAAAGAATATTTTGGGGGAAAAGCTTTACACCCACCATGTACATATACTTCATGTGATTTCTTTTCTAGCAGATTTAAAATTTTATAACTTTCAAATAAAATATCTCTTAGAATCTGAGGGAAATGATCGACCGTTCTCCAAGCTTTGCTACGTTCTGTAGATTCTGTGAGGTAATACCATCTGTGCCACCATTTCGAGAATATATTTTTCATGTTCTATGATATATATATATATATATATATGTGATTGCAAATATTTTAATCAATGCTCTTCTTGTAAGTTCTCATAGAATTGTAATTTCTATTCTTGCTTCTGTGTTACCACACCTGTTTTCTCAACTTTTCCCTTCTGAATCTGAAGCTTTAAAGCTCTGATCATGCAGAGGTGTCTTTTTCACAGTGATGCTTTTCCACCTGGAGAGGATCTACTTCTCATTTTGATACTCAGGACTTAAAAACCATCGTGGATACAACCCACACCCTTCTCAGCCTCTCTCATTCACTCATGCATGAAACGGAAGAGTAGAAGGTATTGGGAAATAAATAGTGGATGAGGTGAGTGGTGATTTCAACCCACCTCAAAGTCATACTGCAGGAAAACACACTATTAAATGTAGCTGTTCGGACCTGACCATATATGTTGATAGTTAATTTCTTTAAGCTGAAATATACTGATTTGTAAAGTTAAATTGGCTAATCATGGTACCTGGACCTAATGCTTAAAGTCCCATGTATGTGGTGGTAGCCGACTCCTTTCCCATAGCAATGCAAACTGTGTTGTTTTTTACATTATAAAATGGATTGCTGCTTCTTTGGATGCTATTGCCATGGGAAATCCCACAAATACTGAATATCCTTTGTTTCTCTGACAGAACACAAACCTTCCTGACAAGGAAATGATGATTTTTTTTAAAGTTTTACTGAGTCTACTCACATATATTTCTCTGTGAACTATGTATTCTCCCCTTTTAATTCCTGATTCCCACAATTCTCCACTCTGCTGTGCTAGGAAGTAGGAAGGAGGAGAGTGAGAATATTGTCCAGGAACTTCGTAGTTTATGTTTCCATGACAGGATGGCCCTGTCCTTCCACAGGGGTCCCAGCATCTGCTGGAAGACAGTCTCTGCATCTTCTCCTTGACTTTCAGGTGTAGGTATATAGCAGTCTCTGATAGCTGTAGCTCCAAGTGTACAAACCCACCTCTTGACATCCATTGACATTCTTAAACACACCTTTGAATCGTTTTTTTTTTTAAATCAATCTCACTGAATACACTTGTCTGTGATATCTGTTTCTTGTTGGAATCTGAATAGATACGTTGGGTTATTTTCCCTTTTCCTGTAGAGGAACCTTTAACTATAACACGATAGACTGTGGAGGTGTAGTTCGCAAACACTACAGCTTACTTCTCTAATGAGAAGATCTGCTTCTTTGTAGTACATGTAGCTGGTGAGCCTTAATAACACGCTACATATGAAATATATATTATATACAATCTCCTTTAGGATCTCTAACCTTACACTGCTAGAATTTATAGCCTAGTCACACAACTAAATGCTATAATAAGCAAAACACAGTAGTTTTATATAGAAACTTGCCAGTAATTAACATTGGCAGATTTCAAACAACTTCATATGCATCTCCTGAGGCCTCTGTAGTGTCAATACTAATTACTAGTAAAAAATAGAAAATTGCAATCATGGCTACTATAATGAAAAATAATTGTATATTACATTTCATACAAAACGGAACACAAATAATATTTGCTAAATTACTAGAACAAGGGCTTGTTTCAGTTTATCAGATAAAAAGAGTTAACTTGGCAGCATAGCAAAAAAGTATTTTTCATTCTTTTGACTTGATTTTGTTAATTTTATCCATTATTTGTATATATGTGAAAATGAATATGTAGTCACACACAAAAAGCTAACCCTAGATGAATTTCGTGAATTCTTGTTATAAAGTAGAATAAGTATTTGGGTAAAACAATCCATTGTAAGAAAGGTTAATGATAGATATATAAATCATTGAGGCAATTATTTCTGTAAAATGATAACCTGATTTCCATTCATTACTAGGTAATGGTAATAATTATAATTTTCTCTGTTCCTACACAATTTGTACATATGCACATGTTTATATCATTTTGAGTGCCTGGTTTGAAAATATAGTTTCAGTTATGATGAACAATACATTTGTGGTTAGGTTGAAATATACATTTATGCAACAATTGTTTTCTCTCATGTCAAAAAGTAAGATAAAGTTAAAATTTGTTGATATTCTCAAATGTTTATTTATTCAGAGGACATTGTGCTGGAAACATATACTATTTATATGAATAGCTCAAATACAAAAAATATTCTATTTATAACCTGGTTCATATTTATTATTAGTTTGCCATTGGTTATTTATAAACTGTAGCAATTTTAAAAACTATAAAAATATTACTAGAAAAAATAGGTAGCTACAAAGATCCAATCTAGCTGAAACCTATAGCTAAAATTATTTGTAAAACTGATTAGTTTTTCATTATAACCATTTTTGGGTGTTAAACTAATCAAAGTATCTTCCAGGTTTTTCATAAATTACATATACTGAGCAACTATTCTAACAGTGAATCATACAACAGTATCTAAAATCCAAGTATTAATTCTAGATAGGTTTATAAACTTTTAAAAAATTGAATGTAAAAATGGCTATAATACCTTGATGATTTCTTCAGATCCAATTAGCTCAGGAAATAGATCAAGCTCTACAAAATTAAAAACAATATTATTAACAGTGTTCATTTAACTCTTGCAACCTTATAAGCTTATCTTTGAGTGGATAGAGAGTTTTTAAAAAAGTGAAAAATCACTAGGTTTGAAAATATCTCAAAATAAAAATGCCACATTTTAGTTTTCAACACTAGTTATCAACCCATATCATAGCACTAAAAACTGACATATGACATTGATTTCTATCTTCTCCTCAAATTGTCTTCCCCAAGCCCAGCCCAACTCCCACCAAGGCTGAGAAGAAGAAAGAGGACACGGCAGTGATAAAACTGATGTAAAAACAAGCCACTAGGGCATCTTTGGAGCTGCCAGGAGGAGAACTGAGGGGTGACAGAGACTCTGGCAGGATTCTTTCCCGAAGTTCTTTTGATTAAGAGCACTTGTACTTATTAAATGCAGGCTCCTGCACCAGGTAAGAGCGAGAACGTTTCATCAGCAAGCTTCAGCATAGGCTGGCACCACGGAGAACTGGGCAGAAAGATTCCTTTATATGTTCTCCAGGGAAACTCAGCTAATACCATTTACGCTATTGTAGAGAATCAGTAAGTGATTCACTCAAGTCTGCTTTTTATTTTCCCAAACAATTAGAATCAACACAGTTTTACTGTTGCGAAAAAAGACCTATTAGAAAGTGCTAGAATAGGCTAAGAGTCCGGTGATGTAGCTCAGTGGTTGAGTGCTTGCCTGGGAAAGATTAAAACCTGGTTCTTGGTGTACAGAAAGGAATCTAGCACACAAACCAATTACTGGGAGTTGATAGCTATTTCTCAGTCTTCAGCCAAGTGTTCGGTTTATTATGATAAAGATAAACACAGCAGCAGAGAGAGTTTGGGGCATTGTTTCAATGATGTCCTGATATTATCCAGGCTGTTATGAAACTTCACTACATTGGCAGTTTGTGCTCCACCTTGATGTTGCTTGTGCTCCGGGTTTAAGTCTTTATACAGTAAATGCATATTTTTAAACAATTCCATGGCATAGCTGAATTGATATTTAATAGTCATCATATTTTGACTTTTCCTTCAGTATCGACTGTCACAAGTTCATTTTTATCATCAGAAACTTGCTAGGTATTAATAGGGGTAAAAGCAAAACCATAGTTGGGTACATGAACTCTATTTAGAAGAGAAATCACATGATGTCTATAAATGTACTCAATTCCTATAATTTAAAGTTAATACTCTTAAAAGCTTAGCTGTTACAGAGTTACTTACCCTTACTAATTTTCTGTACTATCAAAGTGAAAATTCCCAGGATTACATTAAATTCCCCTCAATTATTTTTCCTTATGAATATCGACTACAAAAGAGTTTGGAAATTTTTTATATGGACCAATTGTTCTGTTCTTGCTCCTATGTAATCATTTCCTCACATCTGGTTTACATGTTCTTTGCTCATAATGGTTCCGAGTTATAGTAATATCTATTCTCTCAAACACCTGAGTCCGTGTAACTGTCAAAAAAACCAACATGTGGGACATAACCGACACACAATGCACTGCGGCTAGACTTGCTTTTCTGAAAGCTGCGGCGGGAGTGGAAAGGTCCAGGCAGAGAGCATCTCCAAATGCTGTCCATGGGACACTGTCTGCGGCTTTCCCAAGAGCCGCGCCTTTTCATCTGCTTTCAACCATTTTAATTATAATAAAAGCAAATCATAATGAAATATTTCTTAATGATGATTATATTCTACTATATATTTTTCACCTTTATGAAAAAACTCAACAGTTTTGTGCTTTTTTCAACATGTATCAAGACATGTTTTAGATTTGTAAGACTGTTTAACTTCATCTGACTACATATTTTTAATGAAAAAAAAACCCGAATTTTTTTATTTATTTGACAGGGTTGGGGTGAAGGTTGACTTCCTTTCATTTCGGTAGTCTCAGTATATATTGAGTTTGATATATTTTATCTTTCATTAATCAGCATTAGTTAACTATATGGATCATGGCTCCCCCCAAATGAAATGTGTATACTTATCCATCTAACCATGTCACCCTAGAGTATGAGTCCCTGCTATTGGACTTGAGTTCACTGCTCACTACAGTACGAACAAGCCTTTTCTGGGCCTCCTTAGGTTCTGAGCAGCCTGTGTGTCCCATCGAACCCTAAGGAGCAGGTCCCCATCTTCACAATGCTAAACACAAACTCTCTTTGAAAGATCTTCACTCTAGTTTCCAACTGAACTCAGACCATTTTAATAGAAAATCTGGGGTTTCATAAGTAGGGCAATTTTAGGAACCGTTTGTGTTTCCCTGCAAGATCCTGAAGCCATACTTCTGAGTGTGAAGGTTCAAGACCAGCATCATTCAAGGTAGAGCTGGACAGCAATGGGTCTCACATTGGTCTCCCCGTGATGGTTCCTCAAAAATGATAAATGATATTCTAGTAATGACTTGGGTATAACTGATCAAAAAGTTACAAATTATACTGCTTTATAGAATATCCTCACTTCAGTTAAATAGGCTGCAAGTGACCCAGGGGAAATCTGATAACAAATGTCTGTGTCTTTCTTTCTTTCTTTCTTTCTTTCTTTCTTTCTTTCCTTCCTTCCTTCCTTCCTTTCTTTCTCCCTCCCTCCCTCCCTCCCTCCCTCCCTCCCTCCCTTTCTCTCTCTTTCTCTCTCTCTTTCTCTCTCTCCCTCTCTTTTTCTTTCTTTCTTTTTTTTAAAGTGAATACTTAAAATTCACATTTGTGTAACAGCTGATCAAACACGGGTGACAAACTCAGAGGCACAGATAATGCTAGATGTATTTAAAAGTAATACATTAGTAGACATTAGAACCTTAATGTTTCATAATACAAGGACGCAACACTGATATTGTTTGACAGCAAAGTTATTTAATTGTTTTAAGGTAAGCCAAGTTTCACAGTGCCGGATGTAAAAATAATGTAAACTCCAATCGCTTCAGACTGTAAGTTAAAACAGAAGTTAATCAAAGCCTTAGTAGCATGGCATGATGCATGGGGAGTCATGACAGCTCCAGCGATGTAACAATGATGCCAGAGACCAATGACAAAGCACACGGTGAGTAGATAGTAAAATGTGTGGATTTGTTTCACCATCTGTTTAAATTTAACATATATAGTTACCAAAATCCTAAAATCTTTATGTGTGTCTTTTATACTGCATAATCTTTATATCAGAGAAGAGAATTAAACATGCTTATGATAGTTACAATGAAAAGAATATATTTATGAATTACTCATTTAGGAATAATTTACATTTGTAAATATAATTTCCTAAAATGTACCTTAAAATATTTCTTTTCCACACTAAGAAGGAAATCTTGAGACTTTTAAATTATTTTCTTAACCTGAATTTATGCATGTATTTTAAAATAGTGCTTGAAATAATAATTAATGGATGTTAGTTTATGCTAATATTGTTGTATATAGTGACCAGTAAAATTAGGATGCACAAGCAATAAAGTTGTAACACAATCAATTTAAATGCAGAATTTAATCAAATGAGGAAGTTAAACAATGTAGAAGACTGAATTTTCCTCAGCTATTGAGTTAATACTGGAGATCTATGAAAACATGAGGGCAATCATAAATTCCCTTATTCATTTCCCATTTGAACAAGATCAATAAGCTATACAGAATTTAGAAAACAGCTTATTTTAAATAATAGCAGATTGATTCAATCATCTGTATCATAACATCACTAAGATAAAGGAGTTGCATGGCAAACAGCATAGAAAGGCACTGATCAGAGCTACAAAATACTCGCCAGGCTAAGACATTCCAATATTAGCCACAAAAATAATAAAATCCACTAATTAGAAAGTGACCTATTTTGCCACACTGCAAGGTGGCATCACTGTCCAGAGTGTGCCATGTGTACCATAGAATCAATATTGAAGCTGGTGAGAATTGTAAGTAAGCAAATAAAGAAGCAGCCTTTAAAATCAAGTGAGAAGGTTTAAGAGAATTAATATTTTCAAAATAATTAATAAGAAACCTCCAAGCTTGAAATAAACTGATTCTTGACAGAGACTTTTCGATAGGTGTAGTTAGGGGACAATCTACCCACTAAGTTCATTATCTTGTGTTCTTACGTTTATCCAGTCAAATATCACTCTATACTAAAGCACCATTACTATACAAAGTGTTTTCAGGGTCTAAGACATTCGTGGCGATTACATGGTAGGTCCAACCTAGCGTCCCGTCATAGAAATGTTCAACAGTGCCCCGATCCTTTGAATAAATAGAAATTAAGTCATAATCTTTATTATTTTGTACAAATGAGAAAATACTAGAACAATTAGCAATGTGTCAAGATAGACTCACTCTAAAAGAAAAGCACCCAGAGATAAATCATACAGAAGATGTCCATTTGATCATTCTCATATGCAACAAACATCTCAAGATAAAAAAAATAAACAAAAAATTTCAAAAAGTTGGAAAATCTGGCATAGTAAGCAGTGTAGGACAGGTTATATTAAGCACTCATTTCTTATAAATGCCTTGGAATCTGCTTTATGTACAGAGATGGGAGTGCTATACATAACTAAAACAAGATAATTAAGTGAATATACCCAATATATTTCATACTAAATGCATCAATTATATAATACATTTTGGCCTATTTATATGTGCCTGGCTGACCTGGACAATGTCACTTTAATGTGGGAAACTTTAGAGAAAGTTGTTGTTCCCTGGAATATCATGACACAGAATATAACTGTGGTCAGTTCCTGCATGTCTCACCTTTAAATAACGTTTAGCATTGGCTTTCCATTTAAAAACAAACCAATTTTCCAATCCACAGAGACAGCTGACCTGGGCTCCTGGGAGCTCATTGTCTCTGAACCAACAGCTAGGAAACCTGCATGAGACTAGCCTAGGGCCTCTGCACAGTTGTGTAGCTTGGTCTGCTTCTGGGGCTCCTAGCAGTGGGATTAGGGCCAATCCCTGGTGCTTGAGCTGACTTTTAGGAAATTATTCCCAATGCTGGTTTGCATAGCTCAGCCTTGACGCAGGGGAGGAGCTTGGTCCTGCATCAAGTTGATGATCATGCTTTGCTGATGCCCATGGGAGGCCTGCCCCTATCTGAACAGAGATGGAGGAGGAGTGGACAATGAGGGAGCAGAGAGGAGGTGGGGTGTAGGGGGTGGGGGAGGGAGGGAATGGAAGGAGAGAGGAAGGGCAATTGAGGCCCCCGTGGTCAGGATATAAAATAAATGAAAAAATTAATAAAAGAAAAAACAACAACCCAATTTTCAAAACAAAACTAGATAAAGGTAGTAGGGAAAATGATTAGATAGTGGCCATGAGGTGTAACATTTAAAAGCAAGCATATCCCACGAGCAAGTCATGAACTATCAATGAGCAAGGGCTTTGTATTATTTGGTTGACAAGGGAATGCATTATGATATTTAACAGTCACAAATTCATTAAAGTTAAATGTCAGCTAGTGAGAACAATCATACAATGTGATGCACGCCTTTAATCCCAGCACTCAGGAGGCAGAGGCAGGCGGATCTCTGTGAGTTCGAGACCAGCCTGGTCTACAGAGCAAGTTCCAGGACAGGCTCCAAAGCCACAGAGAAACACTGTCTCAGAAAACCAAACCAAAACAAAACAATGTGATGAAACATGCTTGTTATATGGGCTGACATTGGCTTAAACTGCTATAGCCTGTAGACAATTAAAGCAAGGCGTTTTCCACTCTGGACATAAAACATGGTTATGCTACAACTATTCATTGACATGAAAAACTTGAAAAGACTGTAATGACTAGAATCATGTAAGGGCTGGCTAAGGAATATTCCCATTTATGTATGTAGATATGCATTTATGTGAATATGCATATTGTGGAGTACACCCATACATATGTGTACACACACACTTCAGTTCCAGTACTGAAAACTACTTTTAGTGATAAAAAGGAAACCTAGATAAATCTGAAATTGTTAAACTATGCCTGTGTCTTGAATTGTCTGTTGCATATGTTCAAGATCAAAAGAATTTTTCTAAAAGGAAGGATGCATGCAGAGAAACACAATTAGAAACACTTTTGTTTCTGCAAAATAAGATTGGTGCATTAAGGAAGCAAAAAACATGCCCCAATCAAATTATAAAAAAGTGAAAAAATATTTAAAGTATACTTCGAGATGCTTCATGTAGATATTTCAAAATACCTGGCATAATTCTAGGGTAGAATATACTTACTACATGCTTTGGGGGCTGAAAAGGAAATAAATATAAATGAAACCAAGTCTTTAGTAAGTCTAAAATAAGTATCAATATTCACTTGTCAATTTCCATTTGATGATTTTTACAAACTGAATAGATCTTGTTTTTCTTGTTTGTTGTATGAATATACAATATTGGCATTAATAATAAAAGTACAGATTACCTTTTATTAGAAAAAAATGATTTGTTTTTCTGCCCTCTAACAGAAAAGGAAATTTTCTGTGTTCGAAAGGATATAAAGTCAGTTCTATACTTATGTTTTTGAGGACACTCCACACGGATTTCCATAATGGCTGTATTAGTTTTCATTCCCAACATCAGTGGATAAGAGCTCTGTGGTGGTGGGGAAAAAATTGGCCCCCTTAGGGAGTGGTCCTATTAGGAGGTATGGCCTTGTTGGAGGAAGAGAGTCACTGTGGGAGTTGGATTTGAGATCTCCTTTTGCTCAAGCTATGCTGAGTGTGATACACAGTTGCTTCGAATGCTTATGGATTAAAGATATAGAACTCTCAGCTCCTTCTCCAGCACCTTATCTGCCTCTCTGCTGCATGAAGATAATGGATTAAACCTCAGAAACTATAAGCCAGCCCCAATTAAATTTTTTCTTTTATAAGAGATGTTGTGGTCATGGTGTCTCTTCACAGAAATAGAAACTCTAAGACAAGTTCTGAAAAGGTCTTTCCCTAAATTCTCATCAGTATTGATTGTCTCTCTCTCTCTCTCTCTTTTTTTTTTTTGTCTTAAAAAGAACCATTTTGTCTAGGGTGAGATAAAAATCTCAATGTGGTTTTAATTTGCGTATCAATGATGGCTAAAAATGTTGAACATTTACTAAAATAGTTATTGGTCATTTGCATTTCTTTCATTTCTCCTCCTTTCCTTTCTCCCTCCCTCCCTTCTGTCTTTTCCTTTGAGAGCCATTTCTTTAGGTCACTGTCCTATGCAACACGTTTGTATTTACTGTGGTACTATTCGTGACGGCAGCAAATGGGACCAGCCTAGATGTCCATCAGCAGATGAATGAATGCCCTTATCACACAATAGAACTCAAGTCCATCATTACAGAAAAAAAAATCAGGACATTGTTGTAGAAATTGGTGACGCTGTAAAGTACCGCACTGAGCTAAGTAACAGTCAGACCCTGAAAGACAAATACTATATTTTATCATTTACATGGAATTCTAGATTTTGCCTTTCATATATGTGAAGAGGTAGGTGGGCACAAGTCATCAAGCTAGAAAGGAGTCCATGAGAGCAAAAATAGAGGTCTTAACTGTGTGGGGAAAATAAAATAAACATAGCATGAAAGCGGAAGGGTGGTTTCTGGGGGTAGGAATGGGATCAGCTGGAGGGGAGCAGAGGGGAGGCGTGGGAAGACCAAAACAAGTATGTATGTATGAAAAGGCTATAATGAAACTCATTGCTTTGAACGCTAATAAAAACGAAACTTTATAAAAACACCCAAAAAACAACAAAGCCAGAAGAAAGCACATGTGTCCCCAATCATCAAAACAGCCTCATTTGCTCAGGAAACAGAGGGGCAACTTAGGAAAGCACTCACCAGTGTCCTCAGTAGGCATGTCAACTATCAGCTGGTCACTGTACTTCCCATATAAGCCATTAGTGCATATGGCCACTATTTGGAGAACGTAACTCATGTTAGGTAGTAAGTTATTGAGAATAGCACCCTAGGAGAAAGACATTAGAAATTATACAAAACATTCTCTTAAGACATTATTAACAGAGACAAAGGGACAACTCTTTATCCTGACAATGTGTGTCTACATGAAAATGCATGTGTGTATGCGCATTTCCGTCTCACAAAGTGGTGTCATCTTCTTTATAAGTTGTGAGAGGAAATATTTGCTCACCAAATCCTCATCTTCTCCTATATCTTTCTCTCTACATCCCAAATGAGTGTAAAAGTAGTTAAAACTTATCTGTTGTTCGATATGCTATCAAATGTACTAATAATGGCAGGTTTATTTAAGTAGGGTCTTGCTGCCTGGATGTACATCCCAGAGACTTTTCTGGTGCAGTGGCGACTTCCCGTACTTGCATCCAGATGAGGGATTATCAACTCACCACCATTGGGCCAACCCTTCCTATCAAATCACACAAGGAATCTGAGCTGTGCTTTCTCTCATTCATGTAATTCATGGGATGGCTCAGTGGATCTTTTATGTTATTCTATCCTCAAAATTCTGACATAGTTACCACTTGATAACTGTCACTAGAAATCTAAAGCAAAGCAAAGAACTTTGAAGTCCCCTACCTTGTTTTTCCTGTGATAAAGTAGAGAATACATAACATGACAAGGTGAGATTCTCAGGTCAATTGTGAGATTTTAATTGAAATATTTATATATTCCTTACATTATCTTATTTATAAGGGAGGAGTACACTAATAATGTTCTGTGCTTATGTTTTCCACATGTAACCACCTCTTATAATGTTGCTGACAGGGTCACGATCTTGTATTTAATTCTAACTACGGACATAATTTACTATGCCTTTTATTCCCTGGGAACACCTTCACTCAACATGTACAGTGACCACAGGCAAAAATACATAGTCCTTTGCAAATTCTTACCTTGGAAGCCAAACTATAATGTTATCAGACAGAAAGTAATTCATCTTATAGTTACCAAGTCCTGATAGCCATCTGTTAAAAACTCATGCTTGGTTTGGTCGTTGCCCTCCAGCGGCTGGTACAGAACAGCAAACTTCTCAATCATGGTGTCATAAACAACTCGAGGTCTTTCCCACGTGACCAGAAGGCTGGTGTAGTTTTCAGGGTCAGCCTGCACATTTTCTGGTTCTGAGCTGCACACTTCAGGAGAAAACAAAGGAAGTCCTTGGCACAACCATTGACTTCTGGAATTTGTATTAAATAAAACATACTTGGGAATTTTTTTATTGTATCTTAGTTTAATAGGAAGTAAAATATTATTTCTTGTTCCAATTTTTGCACCTAAAATTGGATTTGGTGGGTTCTTTTTAGAAGAAAAGAGGGCTACTCTGGCTGGCAGCTCCGCAGGGTGGAAGTCCTGCTGTAGGCTCTTTGACTATGATCCATCTTGATGGGAGCGTGTGTAATCTCACTGTCGGTAAAGATCCCTTCCTCTGCCCTTAAACACTGCCAGTATTCAGTCACAGGGGTTCCCTCCAAAAACTCAACATGGAACCAAAGTTCCTGCTTAAAATCACTATGTTTAGATTAGTTTCTGAAGTATAAGAACTACAGCTCCTTTCTCCTTTTTCATTTGCTGTTGCCTAGAACAGAGTTTTGAGAGTGTTTGGCATGGACATTCATTGTCCGAAAAAATGAACATAGGATGTCTTCGAACTCATGGTGTCTGTATATGTCTTGTCTGATACCTGGCAAATTTATTTAGCTTGGGACTAGAAAATAATCAGTTATAAAATATGATCTATAGTTGGACGTTTTTGCTACTAGAGAAACCCTGAAATAATTTAAAAAAATCCCAACCCATGAAAGCCATATCAAAACTAAAACCATTAATTCAGTCTTTTTGAGAACTGGCAATGAAATTTCACCCTGGCATCATTCATAGAATAAATAAAATAAGCACAGGGAATTAGAATATTTGTCTCATATGAAAATAAAATTGTGGGGAAAAACTTTCAAAATTTCTTAATGTAACTTAAAGATCACATCGAGTAGGAACTGGGCCAAAATTTCAGTCCCATCAGGAACGGTCCTGATGCTCTGTAGAGTGTATGTATATGGGTAAGTTTGCAGTAGCTTCCAGGGAAAAGGAGACAGAGACAGAGACCCACATTGGAGCACCGGACAGAAATCTCAAGGTCCAAATCAGGAGCAGAAGGAGAGAGAGCACGAGCAAGGAACTCAGGACCGCGAGGGGTGCACCCACCCACTGAGAACATGGGGATGTTCACCTGTAGGGATTCTGACACTGCCAACAGGTGTGTCAGAGTACGACCCAAAGGGTTTCGCCCTTTCTCTTTTTCCTTTCCTTTCCCGTTTGTAGTTCTTCTCATAAACACACGAGGGCGCCCACGACTAACAATTCCCTCACAAGCAGCCTGTCTTCCATATGGTATTGACCATTAGCAAGCAACCCTGTAGCTGCAACAGTAAATTAGCTATTCACAAAATATAAACATATACTTTGAATAAACGCCTGGGTAAATCCACATGAGTTAGAGATAGGACTTTTCTCTTTCCTTCCTTCCTTCCTTCCTTCCCCTGCCCCCCAAACTGGCAATGTTTTATTTTGTTTAAGAAGGGCTTAGAGTGGCGTGTTCCTCTAAGAATAAGAGGAAATTTCTTTCATTGTGAAAATGTGAATACAGACGAAAAATATGTTTCCAAGTTATGTTTAGACTACACCATATACCTGTGACACTTCTGTGACTTTTCCACCAGATGGCAGAAGATCATCAAGTCATCTCAACCCCAGAGCATCACATAAGTATCATTGAAATACCCAGATGACCCCCTTCTTCCTTCTAGAGGAGTGGACCTGTAGAAGGTGGGTTTCTGACAGAATAATTTGTAGATTCTCTCCTCCTAAAATAAATCCCTCTTTTTGGAGAAGGAGAATGCTTTAAAGTGATGTAAGTTTTATGCTTTTTAAGTTGTACTCTGTAAAATTTATTAATTGAATGCATCCACACAAAGCAAAAATGGCCTGAGAAAAGCAGAAAAGTGTTCGTTGGAATCTGACCAAAGCATTCTTACCCAGCTTCCCTGGCTTGTCTGTATCTGTCAAAGACATTTCAAATGGTAACCTTCTGTTTTAATCTGTAGTGAGACTTTTCAAAGAAAGTTGTGTTTCTTTGCTAGCAGGTTCTCATTTTTAACTGTCTTAGTTATAAGTCAATATGACTCTTATAGTTAGTTTCATAGTTGGGGCTTATTCCCCTTTATTTCTTCATTTCCCTTTCTCAACTCTTTGCAGATCCTCTCTACCTTCCTAACCACCCAACTTCATGTTTTCTTCCTTCTAAAAATTGTGCAGTTGTTTGTGTAGACTACTCCTGAGCATGAGACCTGCCTTGAGTGCAGCTGATATGCACAGTGTCAGTCCATTGAAGAAAATTGACTTTCTTTATCCTAGCAGCTATCTGTTGGCAATAGCTCCTTGGCCAGAGGTGGGACTTCATGCCTGCTCCCACTCCTCTGTCCTGGGATTTGCCTGGCTTGAGCTTGCGCAGGTCCTGTGTTCACTGCCATCATCTCTGTGGGTTCCTAAGTGCATCTGCTCTGCTGTGTCTGGAAGACTGTTTCCTTAAGGTCATGAACTATCTCGGGCTCTAATAAAGGTTCTTTTCCCTCCTCTGCATAGATCTTCGAGCCTTGAGGGGAGAGTGTGAGAGAGACATCCCAAAGAAGGCCGAGCATCCCAGCATCTCTTGTGATCTACATGCTGATCACGTGCAAGTTTCTGTGTTAATTACCAAATACTTCAAGAAAATGTTTCTCCAACGCAGGGTGAGTCATTCACTCATCTATGGATATGATGATAGGTCATTAGGAGTCATTTAATTGCTATTTCATTTAGCAGAGTAATAATAGTAGGTCAATGACCTATCTAATGTCAAGTTTTTGATCTCATTGATGGTATATATATGGGTTCCATCTTGCGCAGTGGACCTTAATTCCAAATTTTTAAAAAATGATGGTAATTCCCATAACATTTGTGTTATTAGTCTATCGTCAGGCACATCTTGCAGGTATGTCATTATTGTAATTCTTGGGGTTCACAGCTGGGGGAGATTGATGATCACTTTTCTCTTTGTGTAGCATGTAGAGTACCTGCAGATACATGAATGCAAGCCAGAAGGGATGAAGCTTCCAGATGAGTACCTGCTAGATTTCTCCATGTTCTATGACATAAGCACATGGCGTCCTCAGCAATAGGATCTCACTGTCAAAATGCAGGAGGGTAATCAACTGCAATGGCAATTGCCCAAAATGGTTGGGATTTCTATCAGACCACATTAATAAACAACTCAAATATATGTAACCCATTCTTAATTCTTCGGACATTTCTTTGGTAGCATACAATGTCTAATTGGGGTATTGCCACCCCCATAATACGGTAATGCCATTTAAACTCCTTTTAAATATGTGTATATATTTTATATATTATGTATTTTAGTAAACTTCTATAGTAGAAGATTTTCATATGGCTATTTAAAAATAAAATTTTCTCTTCCCTGGAAGATCTTGCCAGCCCCATGCCTTACTGACTAACTTACCACTGTAGATATTCTAAGTGAAACACATGTATCTTCAGCTTTATTTTAATCAGAACACTATTTTTTTTTAAAAAAAAACATCCTTTTTGTTAACTGATAATCAGTGGTTTAGTAATATGAACCTTTAGGTAAATCTTATTCTTTAACTGTTGAAACAAAGGACATGAGGGGATAAAACATATCTACTTTAGAATGTGTTCAAGAGAAAAGTCTAACTTACATCTGAACACTGTGATCTTGCCAAAGCACTGACTAGATCTTTTAAGAACAAACCAATTGGTTCCTTAAATATAGTCTGGTATTTTGACATAAAATTAGGCAATGACCATGGGGTAGCTCTTTAACATGACCTAATATTATTTTCCTTACTATTGTTCTATTGACATTAGTTATTATTTTTATTTTAGAGTATATGAATACGCAGTGTATGTCTCTGTGTGAAGTCGTACACACTGATTGCAGGAATGGGTGAGGTCTAGAAAAGAGTGTTGCTTGTCTGGAGCGGGAATTACACATAAGTGGCTGTGAGCAGATGGGGCTGGAAATTGAACCCAAGGCCTCTTCCAGCCTATTAGGCACTCTTAGCTGTAGGTTCTCTTAACTGTTGAGCCATCTTCATTCCCTGAAATTAGTGCAATTCTCTTATTAGAAAGATGTAAACTATACCAAGCCAACTATCTGGACGAAAAATCAAGAAGTCTTTTCTAGATCAATATATATTTTGATATCAAACACATGTTAACAAAAATGTAAACAATAAAAGTTATAACTTTCTTGTATAAGCTTCATCAACTTTACTGGGAGAGCATGCTACCTTTCAAGTCATTTTTACGAGTTACATTCAATCTGGATCCCAGGCACTCATTCTTTAAGCAATGACGACTGAAAGAAGGAACCTGGTTCATGAAGAACACAGAGCTCTAGAGTGCTTATGTGTTACATACAAGCAAAAAAGGTCCCTAAAATATCTCCTTGATCAAACAGCCACATGTGTTCTGGATTAAGAGCAGCTGAAGTCTTCCACTCAGGTTGATTCTGGTTACTCTTGGCATATGGGGTATCTGTTCTTCCTGCCCCTTGAAAGTTCATTCCTGACATAGCTTTCTAATGCTGACAGTCAGAAAGTTCCAGGTGTCTTTAGCTTCTAACCTCTTGACTTCCTTCGCAGAGAAATGCACAACAAACCAGAACCCAAACAACATAGAACAAAATAGTCTGTTACTTAGACCAAATAGGGTTGCGCTCATCAGAAGTCCCATGTAAACATTCAAGGTTGCAAAGTGTGTCACCCACGTTTGGCTGGCATAAAGGGCAGTAGTTATTATATGGAAGAACATTCTCACACAGAGAAAGAATCAAAAGATTACTAAGCAAAGTGCTGAGTAGTTTGAGAACAAAAGAAAAAAAGAAAAAAGAAAAAGACAGCAGAAAAGAAATGGAGGCGAAATGCAAAAAAACTCTTTGGTTATGAGAAATCACTGTTAATTATGAAAGTAGATTTGCTAATGTATAATTCATGACATTTTTTTAGGAAATGGTAGAAAATATCTTGCAGTTCATTGCCTTAGGCTACAGAGTTGA